CGGCGCGCGCTACGGCGCCCTCGTCCTCGCCACCCTCGCGTGGGCGCGCCTCGCCGTCTCCGAGGACGACGACGACGACGACGACGGCGACGGCGGGCGGCAAAGGCGCGGCCTGCTCCTGACGCTGCGGTACGAGGCCGGCCGCTGCGAGGCGCTTTTCCTCCCGCCCGCCACCGCCGCCGCCGACGACGACGACGGCAACGACGACCCCTCCTCCTCGTCCCCGCCTGGGTTCCTGCGCCTGCCCCTGGTCCTGGTGCGCATGCCGCCCGCGCTCCGCGCCGCCGTGCTCGGCTTCCTGGCCCGCGAGTTCGACTGCCGCTTCAGCCCCCTCGCGCTGCCCGGGCCGGTCCTGCTGGCCGCGTGGGAGGGTTGGGTGCGCGATGTGGGCCTAGGCGGCGATGACGAGGCTGTTGCTGCTGCTGCTGCTGCTGCGTCCCCCGCGCTGAGAAAAGACGTCATCCTCACCCTTGCCTTCCACTTGCCCTCTCCCGCAACCGGCGGCGGCGGCCCCGACGCGGAGAAGCAGGAACAGCAGCAGGGCGCCCCCGGCCTCAGGTCCCTCGACCTCACCCTCCCGGCGACCGACGTGGCCCGTTTCGTCGCAAGCGGGAAGGATGTGCTCGAGGAGGAGGAGGAGGAGGAGGAGGAGAAGTCGGGGCAAGGCGCCCCCACCCCAGGACCCTTCACCGCCGCGCTCGCGCGGTACCTCGGGCACCACCTCGCCCTCGACGTGCACCACGGCGCCGTGCAAGTCGTGCGCGTGTCCTGCGGCGCCTTTGTCCTCTCCGAGGGCAGGTTGAAGCTGTTCAGGCCCGCAGCCGGCGGCGGCACCGAGGAGGAGGAGGGCGGCGGCGGCGGCCGGAGCAGGGAGGCCGAGGCGCTGCGCAACCTGCTGCTCAGGCTGTGCGCACGCCACTCCGTCGTTGATGCTACCTGAAAGGAGCGGGGGCGTCGAGGATCGGTACATCGGTTCTTTTGAAATGACCCCAAACGGCCCCAGGTGGCACCGAAATCACAGTCGAATATTCGGCCCTGCACAGACCCTTTGTTGTTCTCAACGCTGTGTCAAAAGATGCGGAAATGGCAGCGGGTATCTGTTTTCTACCCTGGCCGGCAGTGCGACACCTTTCCAGCGGGTATTGACCCTAGCCAGCAGCACCATGGACGACTTTCAGGGGTCCCCGTACTCTACCCAATCCGCAGGCCTCCCAGCGCCCGCGGTCCCTACCACAGCCACGAGCTACTGGGTACATACAAGACCACGGCTGGAGATCAACTCGGCCACCTGTGATGAGAGAGGTGAGCGCGCACACGCTCGCCGGCGCCAAGGCAGTCAGGCCCTCTCAGTCAGCGGGGATAGTGCCTTTTGCGCACCCACCCCGGCTTGCTTTATTGTGACCACCCTCTCAGTTGGTAACAGGCTTCTGGGTAGATGAGAGTCCAATATGACATTCATCCCCAACTGTCTCTGGAAATGGTGATAGATCACCCGCACTACATCATGAACACCATGCCACTAAACCGGTAAAACCCCTCAAACGCTTGCCATGGTCATTGTTATCACAAAGCAGAGAAGATTCAATGGTGTAGTTAGGAATATTTAAACAAATCTTAGTCATGTCCTCGAGCCGCTGTGTTCGGCAACATGACCTTGCGGGCAGGTGCATTGGTTTATGGTCCTGCATAGTAACACTGATATGACACGCCTTATACATGACCAGGTAGACCGTCTGGTCACCTGGGCGAGCCGACTCCGGAAGCGTACAGGCCCTCCCACTTCTCTTCCACCCCGATAACTTGCTTTCTGAGCGTCGCGATTTCACGGTCCAGCTCGTCGAGGTTGGTCGAGAGCGCCCCGGCCTCCTCAAACCGCCGAGAGCCGCGCGCGCCGTTGATCATCTCTTGGACCAGGAACCGCTGCTCTTCCAGCACCACAAGCCGCTCGCGCAGCTCCTTCTCCTCATTCTCCAGCAGCGATGCCGCCGTGCTGACCTCGCTCCCGGCAACACTTGACGCGTCACCGATCGAGTCGCCCGTCATTGCCGATTCGCCATTTCGGAGAGGGGATAGGTGACCGTTGGGGCCAGAGCCGCTGTTCAGCCCTGACAATAACCTGCGATGGCCAGGCCCAGAGGCGCTCGACGAAGATGAGGCTGAAGACTGACTCCGAAGCATCTGGGGAACACTTTTGAGCGGCAGCATGTGGGTATGGAGAAACGTAGACGCTGCCGCATACACTGCAGTCTGTAGTCTCTTTTGCGCCGGATTTGTAGTGGGAAGATCCCGTAGTCTCCTGGCCGCGAGGTTGTATTTAGCGAATGCATCCATGAGCCGCTTCCGGATCTTGGCTGCCTCTTGGATCTGAGCGTGGGTCGGGGCTGGCTTGTCACCCTCGAGGTCTCCATGTTTGGGTGGTTGCAGGGCCATCAGCGAGCGTTGGAATGACGGCATCAGGGAGCGGATTCCTCGCTCAAACTGGCGCAGATTCTCATATGAGCGCTGGTCTGGAGGTCTGGCAGCGATCGACTCGGCCACGTCGCGCTTTGAGAAGATGGTGTGGGAGCAGTCCCGACACATGCGCACGTCGATGCTGACCTGGCCACCGCCGCCAGGCATCTTCTCAGATCCCGGGTTCCTGGCGGCGCCTAGAGATGAGGTATATGAGGCCGAGGCTCTTTGCTGCTGAGCTGTGGCGACATTCAGCCCAACCTCGGCCGAGCAGCCAGTTTGGGGGTCCGCGCAGACGACTCTGCCACATATGCGACAGTGGTGCCTCCTGAAAGTCCAAGACCCAAACTCTTGCTGACAAAAGGGGCATCGCGGAACCGCCGCATCCTCTTCCCATGTCACGACAGACTGCTCGATAGCCTTGCGTTGAGCCTTCTGCCCTGCCAAGCCCGCCGACAGCAGCCCGCCGCCGCCAGCTATGCCGCCGCCGCCCACGGAACCATTAACCACCGCGGCTATCTCTTCGGGAGGGCTGGCAAGCAGCTGGGTCAACTTGGTCAAGCGTTTTTCCAGCCGCGCTATCTCAAGGTTCTGTCTCTCCACTCGAACCCTCCTCAACGCCACAAAAGACGCTGTGTGATCCGTCAATACCCCCATGTGATCATTGTAGCCATCTCTCGACTTATAACACGTCTCACAAACACGATACCAATACCCCCTGACAGGGTCATGGGCGGCGGTCCGTGGCGCCAAGCGCATCTGGTACATAGTGTGCTCCTCGCAGAAGATGCGACCGCATTTCCGGCAGTTGACGCTTCCGCTGAGCGGGCCCATGCGGCGGTCACACGTTGGATCGGTACACGAGTCGCCCCCAGTCGACCTTTGCCAATGCTTCTTGGTGATGAGGTCCTCTGGGTCGACAACAGTAGGCTCCAGAACTCTCGGCAACCCAGGCGCGTTGCCAACCGACGACGCCAGCGAGTTGCCCAGCCCTGACGACTGCGCTAATGTGGACTCTTCGTTGGATTCAAACACCTCTAGCCCGCGGAGCTTTTGGTTGATGAGCGAGAGGGGCTGAAAGCGCTTCGCCTTGAGGACTTGTTTGTCGAACCAGGTTTTGACTTCGTCCTGCTGTACTTCTGGTAGCTCTTGGTGCATATCGTCAATGTGCCTGAAGTAGGGTCATGTTAGTGGCTCTGCCGATATGTGCCATGTGAACCTGTGAGGGAGTAGACTGGGGGAAAAGCACCTGTTTAGTTGCAATAGCGTCATCTGAAACAAGCCGCCGCCAAGCAGCGTTAGCAGAGATCAACCTTGACGAGCCGTGCACAGCACAAGAAACGCACCATCTCCTCTTGGCATATCGGGCAAACCAGCTCTCCAGGAGCAGCATTGGAAGGTGAAGGGGCACCGATGCTGATGTTCGCCGCGAGGTCCTGGGAGAAATCGGCTAGCGGACTTGACGAGGTCGGAGGGGTTATGAGGTTGGCATTCTGCGAGCCGGACGAGACGGTGCTAACGTCTGACGGCGCGAACGGGCTCACGGCGCGGGGGAGAGCATGGCCGTGGGAGGGAAAGCGCTGCTGGTGCTGGTGCTGGTGCTGGGAAGGATGGGCCGGCGGCGGCTGGGGAGGGGGGGCAAGGCCCTTGCCGCTCCCCAAGATCCTGCCGCCTCCCAGCTTCCTGCCAGACATCGACCGCTACGACGAGGCAGGCGATGCTGGCGGCTGGGGCGCAAACAGCCGGGCGAGCCGTGTCTACGCGGGCTGGCAGGCGGCCCCCGAGGCAAGGTCGACGGCAGCACTTGGCGACGGGGCGGGGTCAACTGGAGGCCAGCAGGACGGATCGGTCGGGCTGTTCGGGCGGAATGGTCGGGGCGGAGGGTGCTGTTCTAGGCAGGTCTGCAGGGAGATCGATTGATGGGCTCGGTCGCGTGAGGGCGGGACCCGCGCGGGTGGATCGTTGGCAGGTTTGCTCTTTGGTTCGCACTTTCTCCGGTCGGGTCGGGAAGGAGGTTTGTCTGTTACCTTGGCGCCTGGAGGAAGCTTAGATCGTGGCTTGTGCTCATACAGTCGTTCCTGCCTCCAACATCCATGTCGGCGGAGCTGAGGCCTGGGCTCAGAGAATCTGTGGCATTTGATTGGCTTAGAGGGTCATGGAAATGCCCCACTTGGCCGCGCGGGCCATGGTTGGGTTGTCCCTTGGAAGCGAGAGAATCAGGTTGGATGGTTCAACCCAGATCAGGGAGATGACATGCGAGCAAGATGCCATTCGATGCGTCTGGTGAAACGGTGAAACTCTTCCATTTCCATGTCCTGTGTTAGCCTATGTGTAGCATGATACTCGACCAAGTGTGTGTCAAGGTCGGGATAAATCAAACAGTTACCAACAGCCAACAGCCAACAGCCGCTTTGACTTGATTAAATTACCTACAATGTCGAGGTCAAAAGCTATGGGTCAACATAACAGCGGCAGCAATGTCACCTTTAAGGACCTCGGGTGTTCTTGAGATATTACACACACACACACACCTCAAAACAGTAACATCTCCCACGACCAGCTAGCTGCCCCACTGATTGTACCATCCTGCAGAAATCACGACAGAGTGCTGTATATCCTCAGCGACACCATTGGCTGTAGGTGACGATGTGTCATGCCCTGTCTGAGAAGCAGCGGGCTGCCCCCCCTTCATCCCGCATCGAGCGCAGCTCATCCAGTGTGGGCACGGCGCCGGCAGCATAAAAGGTCAAGAGGTTCTCCATGTCCTCGTCGGTCAGGCCGCACAGGTCCTCGAAGGAGAAGGCGTCGCTGACCTTGATCATCCAGCGCATCCGCTTTGGCCCCTCCTCGACGTCGGGCGCGACGGCCCTCAGGCGGGCCCTGAGCCTCCCCACACTCTCGACGGCGCGCCCGGCGTTGGGCGGCAGGCCCGCGGCGATGTGGCGGCGGATCTGGTTGGCCAGCCTGGGGCCCTTGCCGTTTGTGCTGACCATGACCTGCAGGGGCCCGTCGCGGTGGACGCTGCCAAAGTAGAAGTCGCACTCGGGCGGCACGTCGGCGATGTTTGCGGGGATGCGGCGGTCCCGGCACAGGCGCCAGATCTCGGACGAGGCGGCCGGGTCATCGATGGCGACCAGGACCATGGCTATTGCCGGGTCGTCAAGGTCGCGCGGCTCGAAGGCGCGGTCGACGTGCGCCACCTGCCCGCACGCGATGCGGTGCGCCACCTCGGCGTTCAGGCCGTTAGTCGAGGGGCTGACGACGGTGACGACGGCGTCGGCGTTGAGGAGGTGGAAGATGCGGCCGGCTGCGACCTAGAGTGCGCGTTGTTCTGTTTGGTTAGTTGGATGCGATCATCGTCAGGGGCGGGGGCGGCTTTGCAGCCCGGTACAGAGACGGCCGCCGTACCTCTCCGCCGCCAACAACGAGGGCCTTCTTGCCCCTAATCTGCCATGCCAGGATCAGACTCCCGCCGCCCTGGACCTCGGGAAACTCGCTGGGCTGCTCACTCATCGTGTCGCCGTCTTCTCAATCTATTGTGAGTGGGGAAGAGGAGCCATTGGACGAGACTAGCACAAGAAAAAAAAAAGGGTCAAGGGGAGTGTTTTCCCCTCCGGTTACGGGCTGTCCCGCGTGCTCCCCGCGGAAATCGGGGTCCCCGTTGATCGCGGCCATTGAGGCATGACGCAGTGATCGGAACTGTCACAACCCGTTTTGGTGGGGGTCACTTGCAGATGAACCTGCAGCGCCCCGCCAAGCCTGACAGTCCAAGCTCCAGATATGAAGCTCCAGTACAAGCTCGGGGACAAAAATAACAAGACCAGAAGCGGCGAAGCCATTGCCAGGAGATAATGCCACTAAACCAGAATGTGTGTCATGATTACCACGCATCGAAATGGATCAGTGCAGTGTAGAAATGCATACAAGTCATGCTATACCCACATGTATCCGACCAGACAAACGAACCATATAAACCTACAGGCAGGATTCCCGAGGCCCCCAAAAAATGCCTCAATGACCATATAATTCCCAACAACTGCACGAATCGCGATATCCTCGCTGATCGCCAATATTCCCGCCCGACAAATTCACCAAAAATCAAGAGGCCGAAAGCCACATGAAAACCCCAATTCTCAGCTCACGACTACCCCTTCAACGCCACCCAGGAATCTCCTGACACGGCCGATTTCGAGTTCTCCCTTCTCGCTCTCGACGGCTCGCATCAGTCCATCCAGGTGCGGATCCACCTCGCTGTCCTCGCATTTGGATGCTAGTGCCACGAGGTGTCGGTATTTTTGCTCGACTTCCCGGCTTCTCCCCTTGAGCGCTGCGACAGCCTGCTTTGTTTCCCGAGTCTGCGACCGCACCGCATTAACGCGAGCCCTCAGCAGCGACGCCGATGGGAGGTGCGACTCTGAAGCGTCACCATTTGCCCCGTCCTCGCCGTTTGCTGTTGCATTGATGGCGGCCAGTAGCGTGTTAGCCTCGGCCTCCCAGCCATTGGATGCTGACATGTCTCGGCGGCCGCGGCGGGTCTGCTGGAGTTGCATGAGCCGGTACTGCTCCTGGTCGTGTGCTCGATTCAGATTTGTCACTTTCTGGCGTGCTAGCTGCTGCTGTTTCAATTTTGCTTGTAGGCCTTCTAAATGTTTGCGTGCCTCGGTGAGCTGCGCGGTTGTCGATCGGAGTGTGCTGTGTAGGTCGTCCAGAGACATCTGTTTCGTTTTCATCTCAAGCTGGAAGCTTGTCGAAGTCTCGGTAAGGAGGTGTGTGATGGCTATGAGAAGAATGTCAGTATGGAACACAGAATACAGATGACGGGATGTAGGAGGCGGGGACATACACGTAACGATGTCGTCGCTGCTCTCCCGACTCTTCTGGCTGCTACCAGGAATTTCGGTCTTTTCCACAACCCCCGATTCCCCGTTCGCAGTGTCACCAGCCGAATCGAGACCAATACCAAAGTCCAATGGCCTCAGGCCTGCGCGGTTGGCGACATTTGGGCTCGCGCAAACTTCCAAGAGCTGCGATATGATGCTCCGGTTGCCGATGCGCGCGGCGATGTTGAGAGCTGTGTCACCGGCATTATCTTGTGCGTTCAACATCTCACTCATGAAGCGCGCCAGGCCGAGCCTGGTAGGGTTTTGTTGCGACTGCGATGATGGCTGGTTGTTCCCACCGTTAAGCTGCGCGTTTTGACTGCTTGGCTGACTGCCGGCGCCTTGGCCCTGGGTACTTGCTCCCTGCCTGACAACCCATTCCAGTAGACACTGCAGGTAGTACCTGCTTGCGGCGCTACGGCCCTTGACGGCGCTGGTGAGAGCGATGTGGTGAAGCACGGTGCGACCCTTGTTATCCTGTACCTCAATTGTCCCTCCGAGAATATCAAGTAACTCAGGCATTGTGTTGTGGTCGTGTGAGTTGGTGACGATGCAGGCTCGCATGAGGGCCGTCTCTCCAGAGGCGTTCACGCGAAAGGGATTGGCTCCCGAAGCCACAAGTGCCCGGAGCAATGTCATTCGTGACAGCGTCGCGGCCCAGTGCAGGGCTGTATGGCTCTGTGGATCGATTGGCATGTCCAGATCGCGAGGACCCATGGACCTCAGAAGTTCTTGCCGTGACTGATCGGAGCCATCTTCCATAAAGAGGCTCATCAACATGCTACGCTTGTTCTCCGCCTCGGGAGATCCCTCGTATGGAAGCGGAGGAAGTGGCGTGTACGAATCGTGTTGCTCTGCTGCCCTGTTGGCGGCATCGGCGTGCTGGTTGTAGACAAAGGAATCGTTGGGCTCCGTCGGAGACCCGGGGAACGTGTCGGCATATGCCGACATCTGACTGTTGGGCAACTGGCCAAAACTCGTCGCTGGCGTCATCTCGACTCGCTGTCGTTTCCGTGGCGGTTCGATGCCGTTGCCGTTGATGGTTTGCGGGCCGCTGCCGGCTGAGAAGGACATGGCCGCGTCCGGGGCGGGGAAGCTGTCCTGGTAATTGCTGCCCTGGGAGTTGGTTGGAAAGTCGTCAATGCTTTGCATAGAAGACTGGCGGTTGAAGCTCGGCGCTCGTGCCAGACCATTTCGATTCCGCGGCCCGGGCGAGTCGAATCTTGCTTTGCTGATGGCGGCAACCGCACTGTGAGCTGTTGCCGAGATGTTCTTGAAAAAGGTGCCACCACCGTTGCCGTTCCTATCGGCGCCGGCGTTGTAAAGCCTCTTGCGCTGGGCCGCCATCGCCTGCTCCTTGGTTGGCGTGTTGAGATCACCACGACCAGCCACACCACCATCCTGCCCCATGTCGTAGGTGAGCAGAGGGCGCAAAAGATCCTCCACGCCGTACTGCCGGCAGACCTCGACGGCCTTCTCGAACCGGATCCATGTGCCCTGGTACTTTCCGTAGCCGCCCTGAACCTTTTCGTGCTCTCCCGTCTGGATCTCCTTTTCGAGGATCTTTGTGCGTTTTCCCTTGTCAACACCAGCCACCTTGAGGATTTGTGTCGCATTCAGCCACGAGTCGTTCCTCCTCCTCATGACGGCAACGTCATTGACCTCCATTTCGTAAACATCGACGCCGGAGTAGATGGCCTGTAAAAGCGATGGACCGGGATGGGTTAGTTGTGAGATTTCTGACAAAATCTGCAACCTGAGGCGCAGAGACAAGACAGGCATTACGCCATGATGCGAGGTCAATCGAGAGTCGGGTAATAGAAGCGTACCGTATATATCTTTGGGAGGTCATCGTTTCTTTTGGCGGATTGATCTGTGAAGTGGCGAAAGGACGAGGCGGCCAGACTGGTTTGTTGTTGCGATTGTGACTGCTGCTGTGACTGCGACTGAGACTGCGACTGGCTCATGGTGAAGGACTGCTGGGGTGCGGCGGGCGGCAGCTGGGTCGGCAGCTGAGAGCCCGAACTGATTTGTGAATTGGGGACTAGCATGTCATTTTTCGGGTCGAATGAGGCTGTCGACGGCAGGGAGAAGGCGCTGGACTGGCGCTGCTGGAGCGGAGGAGTCGGGGTCGGGGCAAGGCCGGGATTGGGGCCAGCGGGAAAAGACGCGCGGTGTGGATGCGGTGGATGTGAATGAAGATTGCCGGGGCTCGAGGGTGGCAGGGGTGGTGCGGCCGTGGTCACGGTCGTCGAAGCCATCGGCGAGACGCACGGAAGAGCAGTGCGCCAGGGCTCGGCGGCTAGAGAAGACTAAGAGCGGTTCTTGGACTAATCGCACTTGGAGACACGGGGACGCCGTACATGCCGCCGCCAGGATAGAGTGAGGGTGAAAAAAGGCTGGCCACAATGGGGGTGTCTTGGGCGCGCAACAACCAGGGCTGGAAAAGGGTGGTGAGCCAAATCAATTAAAGTCGATGCGTGCCAGACGTGTCTGTTTCGTGACTGGACCCCAGTGGGGACGCGTGACCGTGTGCCCTTGCTGACGCTTGTGCCACTCTCCGTCCTCGATGAGGCTTTGGCTCGGCTATCAGCTTGAGCTGCTGGGAACTCCACCGGACCACAGCCACCAGTTCGATCCACCACTCAGCCCAGTATAATGAGCTTGGGCCAGTTCTCCGACGTGTGTACACACAAACTGACGCCAATTGGAGGGAACAAAAGGGAGGGGAACTAAAAGGACCCGTAGGAATGGATCTCGAGATGAGGGCAAACTGGGTGAGAAAAGAGAAGTACATCGCTGGCCCAGGATTGATGCGCTCGGCACTAGCTCCATGACGGTTCGAAATTAGGCCATGCACGGGCCATCAACTGCCGGGACTTGAGCTTTGTTTTTCGCCTCGCTTCCTCTGCTTGGCCATTCCCGCAGATGACGTCTTGAGCTGCGTTAACGGTAGTGCATTCCAACCAGTCGCCATTCTTCTGTTCTTGCCGGCCTGGACCAACCCCGTTCGTGTTCTTCGCCCATTTCTGCAATGGGCTTGGACATTTGCGGGTGAGGCGATCCGACCCGGCCTGTTCTTACCCCTTACCCCCCGTCGCAGACCATTGCCCGGCACTGAGGCCCCGGATTGGCCCCCCTCCGTCCACCATGCCGCTCCAGCTTCCTGGCCCGACGACACCCTTGCACCTCTACCGCCACCTTCTTCGCGAAGTCGGCTACCTGCCGCCGGTGATCCAGCCTTGCTTGGTTGATCGAATCAAGCTCATGTTTCGCCGCCATCGCAAAGACCAGAACCCCGGCGCACGACTCCGGAAGGCCGAGAATAAGCTGCGCACGGTGCGCGCCGCCGTTTCCGGAGACACGGATCGCCTGCTACACCTAATGGGTATTGCCTTTGGGCGGCGCGGGTTCCGCAGGCGCCAGTTGCTCTCCGAATTCCTCCAGCTCAAGGCCCAAGACGGCGAGCCTCCTGAGGATGGAGCAGCCTTCGACGCCCTTATCCGGGACCGCCACACGCAAGCCCCCACATCTAGCCATTCTCCAGAGCAGAACTCGGGTGGCAAACGGTACGGTGCCCTGCCCGCGCCGGACTGGCTGGACAAGTGGGACACGGAGAAGCTCTTGCGGTTGTTGAGGTATCAGGCCCATGCGCCCGGCACCACCAGGAAGGCAATCAGCGGAGGCAACCTCGACCCGCGATCAAAGGTGCCCGAGAAGAATATATGGGGTCGGCCATTCCCAGCAAAACCGGCCAGGACCAAGATGAAGAAGTGGTGGGTTCACATGGCTGAAAGGGCGCTGCCTCCCTTGCCCGCAGTTGAATGGGAACTCCTGCAAGCTCTTGCCACAGGCACGCTAGAGTCGGGCCGGAGTATCATCCCTAGGCGACCTGTGGCCCAGACCTCGGCGGCGGAGAGCGAGATACGACGCTTGGCTGCCCAGGCCTGGGATATGGAAGCCTACCTTCTCAAGCCCACAATGTGGGTGGACCGCAAGTCGTCGCGTAAGCAAGTTCTTCTCAGCGGAATCCCGCAGCAAAACGACGAGTTTGGTCACGCCGGCGGTACCAGAACCGTATCGCATGGACAGGGTGGTCGAGCTATCAGTGCCCGTGCTATGAAGCGCCTTTACCTCCAGGTGTGGCAAGAGTCACCCCTGATGGAGACAGACCCAAAGTCGCCGGACAAATGGACCCTGCGATACGGGAAGCCCCCGGCCAAGACACAGGTCTCGGCTTCTCACGCCTTGATATTTCAAGGTGTTGATCAGAAGGGTATTCCGACTAGGCCGGCATGAGCTTATACACATATCCATCTCTCCACCCATGCTGGCCATCTATGCCGCAGGTGCTGTATAGGTGCTTTTTCCCTCCACCCTCGCCATGTTTTCCCTTTGCGTTTTGGTCCCTTTTGCTGTTCATACGCCGACATGCAATGATACCCCCCATTTTAGGATGACTTTTCCAGGGTCCGTCATCCTAGTTCACCTTAACACCTGACGACACACATTTAGTCCAATGAGGTCGCAAGCTTGACCAGGCCCTCGCCCTCGACACGCATTCCGACCCATTCGCTCATCCTCGTCGCTCCGATGGCTGGAGACTCGTAGAATTGAATGCTCGGCTCGTTCCACTTGAGCACACTCCAGTCGAGACGTCCAGCCTTCATTGCAACGGCCTCCTTGGCCAGCTCGACCAAGAGCCTCCTGCCAAAGCCCTTCTTGCGCTCCGCCTCACGCACATAGAGGTCCTCGAGGTAGATGCCGGGCCGCGCGCGCCAGGTGCTGTAGTTGTAGAAATACAAGGCCATGCCGGCCACCTGGCCCTGTTCGTTGAACAGGATAAGACACCGGGCCGGCTTCTGCGGAGTGATGGGCTCGGTATTGGGCAGGCCGGTTTCGGCCTTTTGGCCATCCGACGTCGCCAGGGCGATGGTTTCAACGAGGGTCTCCTCGGTAGCCTTGACGCTGTCGATGGCGTGCTCGTAGTCTGCTAGTTCTCGGATAAGGCCCAGTATGGCGGGTATGTCTGATGAGGTTGTTAGAAGACATGAATTACCAGTCTGGGTGGTGCGGATGTCTCAGTGACGGGACCTACCCTCCCTCCTTGCATGACGAATGGTAGCCATGTTGCGACTGTTCAAAGAGATGATGGAGGCTGATTGTTGTTTGATCGAACTACTCGAGTGATGAGAACAAAAGAGGTGATAGGTGATACGATATTCTAACCTGCGATACTTGAGAGGTGAAGGCGGCGTGCTTCAGGTTTATGAGGTAAACAGCTGCGGAGAGGCTCCAGTCACTCTCCACGCACATCCGGGTTGCATCTCCAGGTCCCGTACCCTGAGGGCCTGATTCGTGCCTGCGTCGTGCCATCACAAGCCCCACCAATCCACCAAAGCATGTTCGGCAAAGGGCGTCGGTGCCAATGGAGCTTGCGCCTTTCGTTGTACACCGGCTGACGGGAGCCTGTTCAAGAAGGAGCCAGAATCATCTTAATCCATGTGCCAGATATATAAGCCCAAGCTCGGTGTCGTCGTGGAATATCTAGTTAACAAGGCTTGTAGCCCCCAATACTCGTCATGTGATGCTGTCAACTCGTGCTGGTCTCGGGCAAGCTGTCATGGAACCTGCCCGGTAGCGAGCCACGAAGACGGGCCCACACGAGCTCAAGCTACCCCGCCGATGCCATGCACGACGTCCAATGGAATGGATTGAATGCCTTGACAACCCCTCGGGCCTTGAGGGGGCAGCCACTGACGCGGTCTGGCGCGACGTAAGAAATGGCGGGTGATTCGCGCTAGATGAACCAAGTCTGGTGGCCAGGATGCTGTTTGTTAGGTGGGGTCTCGTCCCAGTATATATACCGCAAAGTACATGGGAAAGCAGAGCCCATTTCGGACGCCGACAAACCGAAAAGACGACATTCGGCGACATCTCAGCTTTGCGCCGCGGAGGGAGCTTCGAATAGGGCACCATTGATCTCTGCCCTGGCCATATCTGCGTAGCAGTTTTCAGACAAGGGGGCCAGACCAGATGTCTCGGTCAAAGACAAGAAGCAAGCTGACGGTCGAGAAGGACTCGCAGTCCATCACGTACGCTTCTGGACGGGATACCTCGACACCCCCTGACCTCCGCATCCTGCACTACAATGATGTCTACCACCTCGACCCGTCGTCGGCCGAGCCGGTCGGCGGCGCCGCGCGCTTCATGACTCTGGTGAACGAGTACCGCTCGCACGAGAGGTATGGAGGCCAGCCGGAGCTGCTGTCTTTCTTTTCCGGCGATGTCTTCAACCCCAGCCTGGAGAGCTCCATCACAAAGGGTAAGTCTGGCGTGTCTGGGGCCACTAGCCTGCCCGCCACCTCACGTGTTTCCTTCTCCGGGCGGTGCACTCGTGGTGTTTTTGTGCTAACAAGTATGACAGGAAGCCATATGGTCCCCATCTTGAACGCAATCGGGACGGACTGCTCGTGCATAGGGGTGGGTTGACTAACAACTGCAACGTGAAGTGCTACGTGATGCGTTGTGCAGGATGATGAATCAATCTTCCCCTTCCTTCCCAGTATCACTTCCTTGATCTTCGATGCTGGCAGGGGCCGTCTCACGGCACCACTGACCCCCCACCCTTTTTACGGACACGATGCTCATATAGACCAATGACCCCTAGAATCATGACCTAGACTTCGGTGTGTGCCAATTACGCTACCTGGCTAGCAAGTGCAATTTCCCATGGTTGCTGGCCAACGTGCTCGACCCTTCGCTGGGCGACGGCGTGCCCATCGCGCATGCTAAGCGCACGCACATGATCACGACCTCGAACGGCATCAAGGTCGGGCTCCTCGGGCTCGGCGAGCGCGAGTGGCTCGAGACGGTCAACTCACTGCCGCCGGACCTGATCTACAGGTCAGCCAGCGAGACGGCGCGGGAGCTGGTGCCGCAGCTGCGGGCCGAGGGCGCCGACATCGTCATCGCGCTGACGCACATGCGCGAGCCCAACGACAACAAGCTGGCCGAGAACCTGGGCGGCGACATCGATCTGATCCTGGGCGGGCACGACCACTTTTACGCCCACAGCCTGATCAACGGCACGCACGTCCTGCGCTCCGGCAGCGACTTTAAGCAGCTGTCCTATATTGAGGCACGGCGGCGGCCCGCCGGAGGGTGGGACATGGAGATTGTGCGGCGCGACGCCATCTCGGCCGTGCCGCCGCACAGGGAGACGGTCGAGCTGATCGACGACCTAACGTCCAAGCTGAAGCAGAGCCTCGAGAAGCCCGTCGGGTACACGGCCGCGCCCCTGGACGCGCGCTTCACGACGGTGCGCACGCGCGAGAGCAACCTGGGCAACTTCATCTGCGACATCATGCGCCACCACCACCAGGCCGACTGCGCCCTGATGGCCGCGGGTACGATCCGCGGCGACCAGGTGTACCCGCCGGGCCCCATCCGGGTGAAGGACATAACGGACTGCTTCCCCTTTGAGGACCCGGTCGTCGTCATTAGGGTGACGGGCCGGAATCTGTGGGATGCGCTGGAGAGCGCCGTCTCTCTGTATCCTGCCCAGGAGGGTGCGTTGGCTGGAATCTGCTTCTCCCCTCGGCTTTTGTGTCGCGCACAACTGACGGCATAGCCCACTGCAGGCCGCTTCCCGCAGGTGTCCAACATCAAGTTCACGTTTGACCCTTCCAAGCCGCCTGGGTCTCGCATCGTCTCTGCAAGCGTCGGTGACGGCGATCCCATGGATATGGACAAGACTTATTCCCTCGCCACCCGAGGTTACATGTCCCGTGGTAAAGGTACTTTCTCCCTTGATACCCATGCCGATTCCACTTGCTGTACGCTTGAGAAGCCCACCCCTTCTAACCTCACAACTGTTTCCCAATCCCCAAAGATGGCTACATGAGCCTCTTGGTCAAATCGGCAGGCGGCGACGCCGAGGAGATCGTCAACGAGGAGAACGGCATCCTCATCTCCATGCTGCTGCGGCAGTACTTCATGTCGCTCAAGGCGCTTGATCGCTGGAAGAACTGGAGCCCGTCGCTGGACCGGCACTGGGGCCGGGTCAAGACCAACGTGACAAAGTACCACCCGGTGCTGCCGCCGAGCCCGCTCGAGACGGCAGACGGGGCCGGGGGCCACGGCGGCCAGGAGGAGTTCCCCGTACCGACCATGCCGGCGCCAAAGGCCGACACCGACGCCGTGGCTACGAGCTGGGACGCGTGGACGGCCAAGAAGCTGCGCGCGCGGCGGGCCAGCGTCGGCCCCTTTGACGAGCGCGTCGTCGACGGGGCCTCCCCGACGCCAGGCCAGGAGGAGCTCGAGCGGCTCGACCACGAGCTGCGCGTCATGCGCCGCTACTTTGCCCGCTGGTGCCGCAAGGCCGGCGTCCAGGCCGGCGCGTGTGACGAGGTCAACAGCGAGGAACTAGCCGTCAAGTGGACCCAGGCCATCGCGCCCCGGATCGAGGGCCGCATTACCATTATCTCGGCGGCCATGAAAAAGTAAGGGTCGTGGGAGACCGCCTTTTTTTTTTTTTTTTGGTTTCTTTCGGCAGGCAGCTGTCGTCGTGATTTCGTAACCATGTCTTCTTCTTGGTGCTACGGCACATGCTCACATGTCTGTCATACGGAGAGATAGAACTGCAGATTTGTTTTGGAGCAGTGGTTGGAAATTTGAGTGAGATAGTATAGGAAGCAAGGCGCGATACTTTTGAATTGGATGTTCTACATGACTCTGGTGGCAACCTTTTTGCTGCATGAACGTTGAAAGGAGAAATTACACGCAATTCGTTGTAATGAAAGAGCAAAGAAAACGGATCCTTGTGTAACTTGGTCAAGGCAGCGAAGATGAGAAAGATTTACAAAGAATCAATAATAGAAGCCGTGAAGGGTATTTAAAGAAAGAACACACGAGACTAAAAGTCGCAGACAGCCACCAGCTGTAGGTGGCTGTTTCGCCAAACCCCACACCAACTAACCAGGCTTCCCACTGTGCACCACCGTAATGTCGGTCGTCACGCGCGGGAGGCCCCCCCTGATGTTGCCCGTCGTATGTCGCCTTGGCGCCCCGTCGTCCATGTCGAGCTCGAACCCGCTGCCACCGCCGCCGCCACCGCCGGGGCGACTGAGCAGCACGCGGGGCGGCGCGTCCCTGCGGCCCAGGCCGACGGTGTGGCCCCACCGCCTGCCGGCGCGGCCCAGGAACTCCTCGAGCGCGGCCGCGTCCTGGCGCTCCTCATCCTCGACGAAGGCGCGGTGGTGGTGGTACGAGCCGTGGCCCGTCGTCTTGACGCTGGCGCTGCTAGTAGCGGTCCTCGGCCGCGCCGCCGCCGGGGGCTCCGCCACGATGGGGGTGGTTCGCGTCGTGCCGCCCATGCCGTAGTCGCAAAAGTCGAGCCCGTCGGGCCGCCGGTACTCTGCTGGCGGCGCAGCCTGATGCCCAGGTCCCGGTCGACGCCGCTAGTGCCATTCTTGCCGCTGGTGCCGCCGGATATGATGACGAAGAAGAGGGACCGTAGGACGGGGATGCTACCGCAGTTGATGGCGAGGTTGCACTCGAGCGCGGTCCAGATCCAGACGTTGTAGCTGTGATTTGCACTGGTCGAGGTTAGTCTCGCATGTTTTAGAAGAGAGAAATGGGAGGGTGAATGACCAGGCTACTACTGACCCCTCCCAGGTAAAATCGGCCATGTCGAGGACGACAACGTCGTAGATCCAGTAGCAGCGCACGACACCCACGGCGATGACGACCAGGCCGAGGCTGAACAGGGCAATGGTGGCTATTCGCTGCCCGAGCGGGAGGTTCAGCTTCGCCAGTGTCGGCATGGGCAGGACAGCGAGCAGCAGGTCGGTGGTCACGTTTGCCACGGCCAAGGAAAACATGAGCAGACTCTCTCTCAGGCAGACCGGGGCCTGCTCGCCCAGGTCCCAGTAGGTAGAGATGGGTCTAGACGGGATTTCGCGATTAGCGTTTCGCCCGTGATGACCTGAAGTTTAGTATGAAGATTCGTGTGAGCAAGACACTCACCTGCACTGAAGCCACAGCGCAAAAAGCGACGCGACGGCGATGGCCACGGCGAGCGCCATGGACCCCCAGGTGAAGCGTCGGAACAGCGAATGCTCTGGTGCTATCCGGATGTAGCTCAGCAGGATGGAGAGCTTGGCAAAGCAGGTGGCAAGAGAGAAAAGGCTCTGGCCGGCCATGGAAACCTTGCGGCCGTTGGTGATTTGATCCGGGGTTAAATCCCAAACGTGCCTCTCCCATAAGTAAAGCTTGGTCACTACATGTAGGCGTGAGCAGATTAGTCTTCTGCCAAGGCATCAACGAGATCGTGCTGGGGAGGCAGATTTACTCAAAATGGTGCACACAGTGACTCCGGCTCCAAAGAACTTGGTTCGACGTGAACAACGGTCAGCTAGGATACTCGATATTTCTCCGAGATGCAATGCTCTATAAATGTACAAAAAAAAATAAGGGACAGAGCGCGCTATAATTCACGGCAGCCACGACCATGTGCCGGTCGTCCAGCCGGCTCTTGCGGACGATGTCGATGCGCACGTAGAGGCGCAGGGCGAGACAGAAGAGCGCGACTCCCAGCACGGCCGTCGCGGCCACGAGGAGCTCGTTGCCCCGGTGCTCGGGGTCGACATAGTTTGGCTTGGGCCAAGCGGCCGTCACCTCGGGAGGGGGGTTTCTCATCTCACCGCCGCTCCTACCCTCGATCGCATTTCAAGCTATCGAGTCCCTCCCTGTTGCTCCGCGAGAGCGACTTGTGCCCCTTCTTCTTCCTCTTCTTCTTCTTCTTCTTCTTCTTGTCGCTCGTGATGGTTGTCAGCCCCCAGCTCCCCGGCCTTGGCCTGGTTAGCGAGCAGGTGGCTCGACAGCTCGAGCGCGGGCGTGGGCGGGACGGCCTCAAGCTGCGGTTAGGCGCGCGTGTGGGGGGACTCGGTGCGCGAGCGGACCGAGTTGGGCTTGGCCCTCCGGAGGCTGCCGAACTTTGAGTCCTGGTAGCTCCGCCGGCGCTCCTCCTGGAGCTTCTCCGACTGCCTCAAGAACTGGACTGGGTCGGCTGCCGCCTCGTCATAGTCCGGGGAAGGCTGCTGCTGGGAGGAAAAGATGGACGCGGCTGCGTCCGCCTGCTGCTGCCTCTTGTGGTGGGGCCGCGGGGTCAGAGGCGTGTGGGCTCTCTCGGGCTCCTCCTGCTCGTGGTCGGAGCTCGAGAGCAGCGTCAGCGACGTCTTCCTCGGGCGTCCCCTGCGCGGCGGGCCGGGGAAGCCGGCGGCTATGGGCCCCGGCGGCGCGTCTTCTGCCTCTACCTCCTCCTGCTCCTCCTCCTCCTCCTCGGCCGTGGGATGGGGGAAGCTGCCGCCGAACAGGGCCTGATGGGTGACGTAGTCCGGGTACTCGGCGGTAATGCGGCAGTCGGGCCCGTCGGGGGTGATGGGGTGCGAGTGCGGTGGCGCCTGGTGGTGGTACTCGACTGTGATGTGGTGGGTGACCTGGACGTTCTCGGCCGTCAGCACCGGGAAGGGCGAGTGGTGCGTGTCCTTGCGCCGCCGCTGCCGCAGCCAGCTCGTGTTGACGAGCGACTTGAGGCTGATGTGCGGGATCCGATGCCGACCGTACTTAGAGCCCGACGAGGTGCTGCCCTGGCTGCTGTTTTTGGAGACGGTCGGGTGGATCTTGAACTCCTTGGTCTCTGAGCTGTCGCCCAACGTGATGCCGTCCACGTCGTGCTCCTCGAGGCAGATGTCCGAGTCCGAGACGACCAGTTGGTGCTTTCTGCCCTTTGCCGCCTGTTGCGAGTGCGCTGCCGAGTCCGCCGTGTCCCCAGGGTTGTCGAGCCGATCGAGAGCCTCCTTCGGCGCCGGCACATCCTCTCGGGAAGCCTGACGGTGGTAATTATGGTAGTTTTGATGACCGTGGTCGTGGTCGTGGTATTGTTCAGGGACTTGTGGAGCGATGGGCGCCTCTTCTCGAGGCAGCTCTGGCTGCCCGTGCAGCGGTCCTGGCGCAGCGGCGTCCGGGGCTGGCTCGTATGGGGGCCCGGGCAACACCGTGTTTGGGAGGCTCTCCTCAGCAGCCCTGGCGTTGGCGCTGCTGTTCCTGCTGCTGTTATTGCCGCCGCTGTTGTTGTTCCGAACCCACCCAAACGTGTTGGCCTGGCGGGGGAAGTTGCCGAGTCTGTGCTGGACCAGCCGCTGGAGCGAGACGGCGACCCAGGAGCCCTTTGCGGCCTTGTGGGAGGACAGATGATCGGGGCCGAGGGCCTGGGCCGCTGCAGCGGCAACGTCACTTGGCGAGGCCATTTGGTGATGAGCAGGCTTTGTGGTCGTCTGAGCGAACAAGTCCCGAGCGCGGCCTGATTGGGGCCCTTTTTTTTCCTGTGTGATGTCTGCAAGGCCCGGGACGAGTTGCTTCCTGCGGGTTGCGGACCGAGGTAGTGTGGAGGGCAGGTCGCAGCTATCAAAGCGTCTGCGTCTTGCGTCTGGCCAGAAAAGGCGAAGCGATGAGCCGAGCACGCGCACAGCAAACCCGCGTCGACGTCCGGCTTTGACCGTGGTCCAAGGTGCCTCCGGGTGATTTCTTCATTTACAAGCCGTCATTTTGCATGCACGTCAGGATATGAAGACTGAGCGAAGGATCAGCCCAGCGCCAGACCCTGGCAAGAAAAGAGCAGCGCAGCAAGCCGCCACCTGGCCGTCCTTTTCGTTCACCGGAGCCCCTCCTCCTCCTCCTCCCCCACCCCATCCCCATCCCATTCACTGCCCCCCCCCCTTTTTCTGCTCATGGCTGCACAGTCCTAGCCGGTCGGGGAGGGCGGCGCGTCAAGGTTTGTCTGCGTGTTGCTAGCCCCGCGAACGACGTCGACGCTGGCCGGGGATGGTCATGGTGTGCACGGCCGCGCCCTCCCCCAACCTTTCCGTCGCCTCAGCCGCGCCCATGCTTGTCAAGCCTAGCCCGGTTCTGGCTTGGGTCTGGAGCGCCATGATGAGGTGCATTGCCGCGCGCGCTGGCGTGTGCAGCTACACTCGGGTGAAAAATACCGCTCGTTTTTCCAAAAAAGAATTCAACGCTAAATTGCGCAAGGAATACCAGCGCCCCACCATATATATTAAAAAATAACTATCTTTAGATAATACGTAACTTATTTTTATATACACTTCGATTTTTATTTCATTTATTCCCTTTATATTTAAATTGGAAAAAAAGTATTAAAATATATATATTAAAAGTGTATTATTATTTTTTTAATTAGTTATTTATTTTTTAACATATAAAATTTTATATTCAATGAATTAATTAATTATTAAATTACCGTTTAATTAAATTTCCCAAAAAAATGAGTTACATGTTAAATCTTTTATTTAAATTTATAATAAAACGTACCCCATTTTAATGCATGCATTAGGGGTAAAGCTATAGCGGTTTAAAGTGGTAGCGTTTAAAATAGGTAGCGAGCGGTATATTTGTCCTCCCACTGTAGCAGTGCGTGGCCAGGTCCAGGTCCGGACAAGCGAGGGCACGCACGGGGTAGGAAATAAACAAATGTGAAGCAAAGTAGAAGAGCTAGCTCAGCCGTCGGCTCATCCCATGTGACGGCACCCATTCCATGAGCCCTACGGGCGGGTGCATCCTTTCATCTCTCCACGGATCTACATGTCTCCCAGGGTCAAAAGTCTTGGCAAATCACCTTTATCTGCTTAATACACGACCTCCGTGGGCCTTTTGCAATTGATTTGGCCCTATCGCATCACGGCAGGAACCCATCTGTCTCTTAAGCGCCGTTTCCAGACCCAGCTTCGCCTCAAACATTTCCTGCTGGTTGATACACAGGGGCTCGAGTTTGGTGCTGCAGGTTAAAATTGGCATTTCCTCTTCCTTCGGCTGGTCTTCGTTCCATGGGGAAATTCACTTGTGCATGCTCCTTAGAATTCGAATGGAACATGCCGATGCTAAAGTTAGCGCATAAATGCGTTCGGCGACATCCTGGTTTTTGTCATGTGCTGTGAACCCGGCCCGGTTAGCCTTTGACAGCTGCTGGAGCGCTAGCCAACACGTTGCTTCCCTCCCTAGGATTATGCTTTGCAAATGAAAGGCTCGAGCTGCCATCGAAGGGTTCCAGCCAGCCGGGATATAATGAGATTGTCAACGGCAGGATGTCGCCCGTGTCTTCATCTTGGAATGGAGGCAGTAATATTGCTCACGTCCTAGTCTAATTGGAGCTTGTTCGCTGAGATAAAACATTAACGAGGTGTGGGATTTGCAACTTCCTATCTTGCCAATAATCCCGTAGTGTGCAATAGTACAGCCCAAACTCCCGCTGGAGGGAAAAGAAGACGGAAAAATAAAAGTGTAACACCAAGAACGCCGCGGCGCCATAATCGTTAGGGGATATCTCGTTTCCGCGTGTTCATACATTAGATCGTGACAAGCTCCCGGCGCCCCGCCGACGGCCTGAAGGACTTCCTGCGCGGGGACGGCAGCCCGATATCCGTAACCGCGCCGCCCGGCTCCCTGCGTGCCGGCCTCCGCGGCAGGTGGTAGTTGACGTGGGAGCGCGGCTGCGTGCGCACCTCGAACGACGACTGCCTGTTGCCACCGCCACCACCACCACCACTGCCGCTCTCGGGCCGCGACGGCGGGCCCGCGGCGGCGTCGCTGGCCTCGCCGGCGTCCTCAAAGGCCGGGTGGCGGTACGTGTCGGCTGGGTACGTGACGCCGCCGCCGCCGCCACCCCGGCTGTCCCACTGGACCTGCCGGTACCCCCGCCTGGCTCCGCGCGCCGGCCGCGCGCGGTACACGACGCTGCCGATCGAGTCGCCGACGGTGCGCGCGGCCCGCGAGCCCCGCGACAGGATGGCGCTGCCCGGGCGCGACACCCGCGCCATGGCGGCGCCCAGCCGGCCACCTCCACCTCCCTGTCCCTGGGGTGGGCCCCATCCAGGAAGGCCACCGCCGCCGCCGCCCTTCTCCTGCTCCTTGCGCAGCTGGCCCCAGCCGATGCCGTAGAGGGCGGTGATATTTACCCCACAGACGGGCAGGTCCTGGATCCCGAGCCCACGCTGGCGGCTGTTCGTTGCCATCTGTGCTGCCGCCAGCGCGAAGCAGAGGCAGAAGAGTAGAGACCGCATCGATGCCATCTTGGTTGAAGTTTCCTCCTTGGTCTTGGGTGCGGCGGTGTTGGTGGGCGCCGTTGTCGACTCGGGTTGGAGTGGTTATGCCCGTCCCATGCCGTGCTGTTGTTTACCCTGCATTCCCCGGTCGTATATACTATCTCTCTGCTGCGAGACTGGCCGTGGTATTTCGATTTGTGTGTGACTTATAGCTCAGCTAAACCGTGCCATTACAAAAAAAAACCTCGACATCGCAGGTGAGGCACCCAGGACGGGGGCCATGGCTGATTTGTAGGCAGCGAGGAGGTAGCTCGGAATTCTTGCTTGTCAAAGACTGTCAGGACCACCATCTAATCGCCCGTTCGTCCCTTTCGTTCCAGGCCTCCCCCCTCCTCCTCCCCTCCCGTGCAGCAGCCATAGAGTCTAGGCCGTTGGGAGCGTTCCGCTTTGTCAGGCATACCCGGAGGGATCACATCCGGCAGAGGAGAGTTCGGGGGAAAGAAAAAAAGGCCAAATAACAGCCTCGTCTTTTGCGAGAGAATTACCATCTCCGGTTACCCAGCATGGGGATCCTTGGCATGCAGGCGAAGAGTCGGTCGCGAGGGTGCGCTTACACTAGCTTCGGCGCAGACATGAGATCAAACGCGATCGGAGAGCCTAGAGGTCGGAGCTTGCCCTTGGCCAAGGGTGGCCCATCGCGCCCAATTCCATGCTCGGGTTCTATCCCAAGCAAGGGTGAGGCCGGAAGAGGCGATGTGCGCGGGCCCAAGACTGGGTGACTTCTTTCCTTGCAGTTCCGGTTCGCCGGCTTGTCACTCCCCATCCTGGGAAACGGCAGACATCAGGACAAACCCGCACGTTTGCTTGGCAGGCGCCTCTTCGTTGCCACAGTGTGTCGCTGGCGGCTGCAGCATGTTTGGTGGGCGATGGGCTGTGTCAGCCACTCTGCTCTTGATAGCGCAGGTCTCTGCTGCTGCTGCTAGCGCTACACTAGCTCGAACTACCAATGGATGGACAATGTTTCGCCAGCCGGCGCTGGCCGCCCGCATTGCGTCGATATCATGTCACTTTCCTGTCTTTTGCGCGAGACGGCTGCGTGGGAATTCACCGAGTCTGTCTGATGTGCGCTATGTAGGTACTAAACGAAGCAAAAGGATCTCTACCTACCATTCCCAAGAACCACCTCGAGATGTACACCTTTCCCCACTCGATCGAACCAGCCGGTCCGCCGCATTCGGGGTCTAGCCGTCGGCAACTTGTCGTTGTAGCCATACCCCGGCCTGGGCCAGACGCTCCCCAAAGCTAATGCGCCTCGTGCTACGTGCTGATAAAGTGAGCCACGTATGCTACCTCTAGCATGGAGCCGTACCCGTCCAGGGTATCGCCGTTGGGAGGGCCCGGGACTTGTTTGTTTCAAACGAGGGCCCGTTCGTTAGCTCATCTGTCGGGGGCCACGGTGGGCGGGGCCAGGAGGAAGGAAGAAGAAGACTTACACGTTCCCCCGACGGCCATGTTGAGGATGAAGTAGAGCGGCTGGTGGCATAGCGACTGCCACACCGCCGCGTCGCCGATCCGCTCGCCGTTTATGCTAAAGAACTGGCGCCCGTCGATGAACCACGAGATGGTTTCGGACCGCCAGTCGCCGGGGCGGCGGTCCCACTGGATCCGCCACGTATGCCACCCCTGGTCCGGGATGCCGACGGTGCCGCCGACGCCGTTCGGCTCGTTGCACCGGCCGCCCGGGTAGACGTCGCAGTGCACGGTGCCGTACCCAGTAAGGGCGCCGTTGACCGTCTCCAGGATGTCGAGCTCGCCGCACTGCGGCCACGGCGTGCCGCGGCGGATGGCGTCGCCCAGCAGCCAAAAGGCGGGCCAGAGCCCCTTTTTGCGGCCGACGTCGTTGGTGCCGAACCGGACCTGAGCCTCCGCCACGGTGACGGCGCCCGGCTGGGGCGTGAAGGTGTACTTGGACTCGATGCGGCCCGAGGTCCACTCGCCCGTCTGGCCGTTGCGCCAGGGCACGATCTGGACCGTCCCGCCGCCCGAGATCTGCAGGTTGCGCGAGTCGGTCGTGTAGCGCTGCCACTCGCCATTGACGTTGATGTTGGTTATGGTGTTCCACGACCCGGCGTTGGGCGCCGAGCCGCCCGGGCCCGCGAACACGTCCTGCCACACGAGGCGGAGGTCGCTATACGCGGGGGCGGCCCAGGCCGCCGCTCGGCGGGGGCTGAGGAGGAGGAGGGCTGCGGCGCCGAGGGGAAGCATGGTGTGCGGGCGGGCGGGCGGACGGGTGGTTGTGGTAGGTAGATGGACGGGAGAGGCGGGCTTCAGGGCAGTAACATATACAGCTCGCACGACGGGCTTCCGGTTCACCGAGATGTCTACATGTCTGTGCCTCGCTGCTTTGATATCCAGTGCATTGATGCACGGTTTTTATATACTTTTTATATACTTTGCGTCCACGGGTCGACATCCCCAGCCGACGCCCTGGCTCCGTCGCCTCCTCCAGAAGATGGTGGGCGCATGATGGTCGTGGGCGGGTGAAGAACAAGAACGGGATCGGTCTCATCAGGAGGCATTTCGACCTCCGTGACCTTGCATGTCAGGATTTATGATGGCCAAAATGCCCCGATTTATACCAAGACCTAGAGAAGGGTCTTTGACGCCGAGCACCTGTCCGGCGCAGGTCGCGAGAAGGTGGCACTTATGGCATGAGTATTTTGGCAGCAAAGGAGGCCTTGGGGATACCTCCAAGGTTGACATTTAATGTAACTGCAGCCAAGATTCGCAGGTGTCAGCCACTTGTCTTTGCCGCATGTGCGCTGGGTCGGTTGACTTCCCAGTGTCTCGGTAACCGCTCGCGTGGCGTCGGCGCCAGGGGCATCTCCGCATGCGGAGAAGCAGAATGCCGGTCAGGGGAGGCCACCACATGACGAACGCCGATGGCGCACCTCTTGAGATGCGGATCTCTTGGGCCTTTTTTTTAGCGGAGCCTCCGTGGGTTAGTGGTGGTTCATTTCGCCGAAGTGGCCTCTGTGGTATTTGTCGCCCAAGGTTGGCCGATGTGTCGTCTTCGGTTGATGTGTTGACCGACCGTGGCTGTTAGGGGCGCCTAGTGTGGTCGGTCCATGGGGCCTGCTGGAAAATCCAGCTCACATGGTCCCCTATCATGATTAATGGCATGAGCGCCATCGCGATCGAGATCAATGCAAGCCATGTCTGCTCCGTAACTGCCACGCCGTGGACAGGAAACAAAAACGTGAGTTGATTGGGCATGCTGGCCGCCAAGTTCAATTAAGCTTGAGAGACGAGCCTCGGAACAGTGTGTACTTTGCGTTCAAGCCACAAAGGCTGCGTCGTTGGCTCGGCGCACAAGGTGTGGCATCGATATCGTGATTGAGGAGCAGCCTCAACCTAAAGAAAAAGCTACGACCGGAGATGGAGCGAGCATGGTTCCTATCAGCCCTGGCCGAATAGTAATAGTCGCGGAATGTGCCCTCCAATCTTCGCAATAACGCGACAGACCAGACAGCACATCCAGGATACAAAATATCCCTGACAAGAATGCGCGGGCTTCTGCTTATCGCCATCGCCCTCGTGGCTCTCTTCCACGGATATGCGGTCGCTACTGTAAGACTGTCCAAACCGGTCATCAGCCCCGAGTTTGAAATGTCCAAGTATGACAACCAGCTCGAGAAGGAACTCCCGGCCCGGCCATTCTCACTTGAATACTGGAGTCCCGACCTCATTCCCAAAATTGTGAGTATATCTTTTGATAGTGCGAGATATTCGGGCTGATTCTGGGTTTCGTCCAAAAAGTACTTCAATCTTTGGGTGAATAACGTGTCCTACAGCCCGTTCGACATCGGTACTGTGAATGTTCTCTACCCGGACTGCCCTCACTATCAGGTGGTCAGTCGACACAAGAACTACGAAGAGTCGTGGGACTCTATATTCAAGGTGCGTCAACGAGGTGTGGTACCCTGTGGCGACTGCATAGAGCTGACAGAAGGTCGTTTTGTGTTTCAGAGACTGTCCAAGGTTCCTGTTGGCATGCGCCAGTGGACGGGAAACATACTCTTTTTGCCCGCCAGGTCGACGACCGCATTCCAGCTGGGGTCCAGCGTAACCTTCACAAAGGCCCTGCACAATCTCGGAGTGGCCGCGCACGAGTTCACCCACGTCCTGGACGCGTTCGCGCTGGCCGACTACGTCCAGGCGAACGGCTACAAGCCCGGGACCCGGTATTCGGAGACGAGCATGTGGGCCGACGCTTATAACAGGGACTCGGCGACGGCCACGCCGTACGGGCGAACAAACGTAAGTGAAGGAATTACCGTCGACGTGGTTCCCGCCACGAGTGCTAACCAGAAAGCCTTGGACAGTGGGTCGAAAACTTTGCCGACGCCGGACGCTTCGCCATGTCCGACATGACCACCCAGGGCGGCATCATTTCACGCCACAGTAACTGGTCCGGCATCGCAACGCAGAATGCCAACTACCGCCGCCGCCTGGAGCACATCATCTTCCCAGAGGGCTTCCCGCGAGGAGGACTGTGCACGGGGAAGGTCCCCGGCTCGCCCGCGGTGTGGAAGTCGACGGGAGAAGAGCGTGATGTGAATGAAGGTATGGACGAGAGGAAGCGTAAGCGTAACAAGCACAGAGTTCGCCGAGTGCCTGTGGGAGCGGAAAACATCCCGATAATTGTGCTGCCGGATTTCAAGTCTGAGCCGGTGGTGTATCGGGGGCCTTGAGGAGCGGTTGGAAAAGATAAATATGTAAATAACGAATAAAAACGAGGAAGGCCTTAGCGGACCAGACAGCGATAGCGTCGTATAAATTGGAATTGGATTATTATTTGCAAAAAGATCCCAGGTGGTTTGGAGGCATTAAAAATTATTAATACACGGGCACCAAATAATAAAAATATAGCAAAAAGGTGGTTGATGGACCTGTATTACAGGCGCACCGGGAATTGAGCCCGATGCGGGGGTCGAACCCGCAACCTTGAGATGACCAAAGTCTTAAGAGTCTCACGCTCTACCGATTGAGCTAACCGGGCGATGGCTCCGATACGGGGAATCGAACCCCGGGCTCGGCAGGACTCAGGACTGGAAGTCGATTGAGAGTGCCGGATGTTAGCCACTACACCATATCGGATGATCGCTTGGATTGTTGACGACGGTTCCCGGCGGTGGGGTTATACCGTTTGTAGCAGGTCCACAATAAGGGAGGAGGGTTCAGCCCTGGTGAGTGGCTGCAGGTGGTGACTCGACTCAGGGCAGAGACTGGTCTGGACCTCGGTGCTATTTTTGGTGCGACGTTGCGAGCCTCCTGCATATCCAGCCGAGGCAAAGATTCTGGACCCGCGGGTAAAGGCTGGATCGAGATCGACACAAGCCTCTCGCTCGTCTCGTCTTTTCTTGCGCAGCTTTGTTTTGCGACGACCGGCTGGTCTCGCCATAAACGCTCGCGATTCCGCTCGGCACTGGCGATCTAGGGCCCAGACCGACAAACGTCAGCGAGGTTTCGTCTCACCCGCGTCGGTTAGAATAGACTGGGGGCTGGCTCCTATGAGATGGCAGGGGTTCTTCTGGCATCGTGCTATGCTAGAAATGCAGTGCTTGATACTCAGACGCTGACACGCTGCAGCAGTGTGCCAACCATGCTGTAAAGAAGTAAATATTTCCAAGGTCGTAACTGTCGTGTATTATTGACATGTACGGAGAATCATAAACAAGAAACCAAACAGTGCCGAGGTTGCTGGCTCGCGCTGGCGCAGCATGTCCATAGACGAAATGAAACAGGTGTTCAAACATTAGAGCACAGTGAACCAAGGGCCCGGTACATGAACAGCGACCCCGCCGTACCCGCGCGACTTGGTCCACGCTTCCTTGATAGCGTGGTCCCTGCGCGGCACAAGTTCCGATCGGTCGGTCCAGAACCGACAATGCTTGGACGACGCATCCCTTCCCAAAACGGGACAGAGTCCAAGACACCCCAGCCCCCCCGTTCCCTAAAACGCGAGCGCGAGGATCCCGACCACGCCAGCGATGACGGTGGCCTTGCGCAGCGCGCCGGACGAGCAGCGGCCCGACGGCGCGTCGCTCGTGCCGCCCGTCTGCGGCAGGACGCCCGTGGCCGATTTGTCGAGGTACATGGCGCCGATGTCGGTCAGCTGGCCGCCGGCCGAGAGCATGCTGGCGTTGGGGCCGACGTTGCTCTTGTGCGAGCGGAAGGCGGCGAAGAGGCTGTAGCGCTCGACGTCGGCGATGCGGTCCATGTACTCCATCGACATCTTGACAAAGTCCTGGGTCTGGTCGAGCGGCTGGTCGTTGAGGTTGTACTCGGTCACCCACATCTTCTTTCCGGGGAAGCTGTGTTGGTGGACGTACGTGTGTGTGTTAGCCAGGGGCCGCGTTGAGACAGAGGGGGAGACAATGAGGCAAAAACTCACGCGGCGGCATATGTGCCAATGTGGGACGCCAGCCCGCCAAAGTTGCCGTACCAGTGGATGGGGACAAAGTCAAAGGTGCAGTTCTTCTTGCTCCCGCCCTCGCTGATGAGGTTGCTGCAGTTGCCCAGGAACTGGTTCAGCCACGGGATGCCGCCCCAGCCGCCCGTGGGCGCGGGCAGGCCGGCCTTGACGCCCATCTCCTGCAGCGGTATTATGTTCTTGATCCAGACGCGCGCGGCAAAGGCCGGCTGCACGTCGGAGCCGCCATAGCTGTTGGGCCCGTCGGGCTCGTTGAAGGTGAGGACGTGCGTGATGTTGACCTTTTTCTTGTTCATGAGGTCGCGCACCGTGTCGAGAAAGGTCGTGTCCGAGGGGTCCTTGGGCGCGCCCCACAGCATGGGCACGAACTCGAACTTGTCCTGCGAGATGTTGTTGAAGACCACGGACGGCTCGGGCCCGTAGTTGTAGTACCACGACAGCGGCGACACGGGGCGCGTCCAGACGTAGTTGTCCTGCGGGTAGTCCTTGTTCGGTACGTAGCAGAGCCCGCGCTTCATGTTGGGCTGCTGCGCTGCCGCGGGCTGGACCGCCGACAGGATCGGGAGGGCCAGGCCCAGGAGGGTCGACGGGATATGCATCGGGGCGATCGGGGGCGGGGATTCGGGATGTCGAGGTAGTGAGGGAGAGATGACGATCAACAAATTCTAGACATCTAAATGGCGTAAAAAAAATCATGGGCCGATGGAATTAAACCACACAAATCGGCTAGTACGTAGAAATGGCGCTCCAAGGAAAGGCGCCTGCCAGCGAAGGCGACGCAGGTTGCAGGTATCGCGAAGAACGGCTGACAGCTGACGGCTGGCGTGAGGGACTCGGCGTCGCCGGAAAACAAGGCAAAGGATCAACCACGCAAAGAAGTTCACGGCTAGAACGAGTGATCCGTGAAAAGCCTTGCTCGAAGAACGGGCTGAAGAAACACTGAAACCTCTTCGCAAGAGCAGTCGAGAATCAAAAATGGGCAGAAAAGAAAAGGGAGACAAAGGCGCGCGCGGATGGGCCGGGGCGTGGCAGGTTGCAAACAGCCATCAACCCCCAAACCAATATTGCGACGGCCGGTTTTCAGGCGGGCTGTGTGCCTGCAGGGAGGTGTGGGAAAACGGCAACGGTGCCGCGCGGGCGATACGAGGATGTGTAGGCTACATGCCCAGAATGGGACTAGGCGCCCGAGGCTGCTGCCGATAGAGTCCTGGCTGGCAGGGGTAAAAATGGAGCCGGCCCAGTCAGCGGGCGCGCTGGGCGGCTCATGGCGCCCAGGGACGCCACACAATCTTGCCCCCTGCTGGCCTCTGCGGCACTGGCAGTTTTGATGGTCGGTTGGCGGGTTTCAGTGGACCAGCTGAGCATCTGGGGGGAAAGCGTGGCCTCGATAAAGCGCGCACGGAGGCATTGTCGATGTTGAGCGTGGAGGTGAGTGTGCGGCCACAAGACACTAGGCACACAGGACTAGGGCAGAGCAGACATGCCTAAACAAGCACAAGAGAAGGATGGATACATTGTCGCTATGGATCTAGAATCTACACATCATACGCTCAGGCACGTGAGTTACAAGTAGCCTGGGATTGATCACACAATTACAAGGCAAGGGCGCCCGCGCGTCGTCGTCGCGGCATTCCTACTGCTCCGACACAAACAGTCCGGCCATTCCCATGCCGGTGCCGATGCACATGCTCGTCAGGAGCACCTTCTTGCCCGCGCGGCGGCACTCGGCCAGGCCCGTGACGATCTGGCGCGTGCCCGTGGCGCCGAGCGGGTGGCCGAGCGCGATGGCGCCGCCGCGCGGGTTGAGCTTGGTGGCGTCGTCGAGCTTGAGCGTGTCGCGGCAGTAGACGGCCATGCTGGCAAAGGCCTCGTTGATCTCGACCACGTCGACGTCGTTGATGGTGATGCCGTGCAGCGCCAGCAGCTTGGGGATCGCCACCGTCGGGCCGACGCCCATGATGCGCGGCGCGAGGCCGGCGACCGTCGAGCCGACGAACTTGGCCAGGATGGGCTGGCCCAGCTTGACGGCCGTCGAGCGCTTCATCAGGAGAACTGCGGCGGCTGGTTTCGGGAGTTCGGTCAGCCATCTGTTCTACTATGCGCCTGTCTTTCAAATCCCCCCCACACAAGGTTTACTCACCTCCGTCGGTGACCTGGCTGGCGTTGCCGCCCGTCGTGGTAGGTCCCCACTGCGGGAACGCGACCCTGATCTTGCCCAGCGTCTCGGCGGTGGTGCCGGGCCTGATGCCCTCGTCCTTTGAGATGGTGACCTCCTTGACCTCGCCGTTGGCATCCTTGAGCTTCGTCTTGATGGGCACGATCTCCTCGTCGAACAGGCCCGCCTTCTGGGCGCGCTCGGCCTTCTGGAAGCTCAGGGCGGCGTAGCGGTCCATCTCCTCGCGCGTGATGCCAAAGTCGCGCGACACGTTCTCGCTCGTCCAGCCCATGGGCTGCATGCAGTCCTGCGCCTCCTGGCTCGCCGCCGTGACGGCCTCGTCGAAGGGCGCGTCGAGCGCGTCGCCGCCCGCCGTCATGGACTCGGCGCCCACCGCGATGCCGACCTGGATCGAGCCGGCCCGGATGGCGTTGGCGATGTCCTCGGTCGCCTTGAGGCCCGACGAGCAGAACCGGTTCACCGACGAGGCGCCCGCCGTGTTGGGGAAGCCGGCCGCCAGGGCCGCCGCGCGGAGCTTGTATGCCGCCTTGCCGTCCGAGACCTGGAAAGGTGCGCAAGAGGGCATGGTTAGCGAGGCGGCTGCGATGGGAGGCGGTGAGAGCAAGGACGGGGAATAGGTGTGCTCACATTGCCCATGCAAATGTCCTCAACCAGGGCGGGATCCAGCTTCGACTTTTCCCTCACTTGCTGAAGCAGCGCGTAGATCAGGTACTCGAGCGTGGTGTCCTTGAAACCACCCTTCTTGGCCTTTGCTAGCGGTGTCCGCACCGCGACGGTGATGACGATATCGTCATCGTTCTTGGATGTGCTGTCGGATGAAGAGTAGTTTAGTAGGCCGTCAAGCTGTGCATCGTTTCGCCGCGCAGGCCGAGGTTGACGTGGCACTCACAGAGTAGAGAGCGCGTTGCCGGGTGTGAGGTGTTTGAGGATGGAACCAAGGCGTTCGGCAGCCATTTTGTCGGTGTTTGGGAGTTGGTCGTGTGAGGTGAGGATGAGGAGCGATTGGGGCGTGGGTTCGAGAGTGATGAGATTTTTGCGGAACGTGAATAATGGTAGCACCCTCTTGGAAGCGCGGCTCCTTGTCGGTGGTATATGTTGGGCGAACGAGTCGGTAGAAATGCTTCTGTGGCAACCGCGCGCGGAAGCCGAGCTCGTGTAGGGCCCGAGGTTCCCCCACGACCGACCAAGCGGTGGGGTTTACCCCGGCTTATGTTGCCGAGGCACAGCCTGGAGAAACAGCACGGCAATTCCGCCTGGCTGTTGTGTTTGGCCGAGGACCCTGGGCCTGCCACCCTACCCGGGCCCGCTTCTGCCGTGTAGCAACGTGGATCGATTGCACAAGATGTCAACCTCCCATGTGATCTTATTCGTCCGTTTTGCCTTTGGCCTCCTCTCACCTCCCACACCGAACACTCGCCGCCCTCGACATGGAGATGCACTAACTAGCTAGGTACCTACCAGCTAGATGTCTGCCACTGACAAAGAATCAGACATTAATTCCGGTCATGTCGGCCCAGTAAACCAGGGCCTCCGCTCCAGCCCCGGCCCTGGCTGCAGCATCAGCAACCGTGTTCAACGCTCTCGGAACCCTCCAAAACTGCACAGCCATCCCGTCGTCGTGCTTTTTCTCGATCTCGCCCAAAAGCACCTCCCACAGATCCCTATTGGCAACAGGCAGGTTTCCCCTCGTCTTCCAGTTGCGGCTTGTCCATGACTTTGCCCAGTTGGTGCAGCCTTCAACCACATACTCGGAATCTGTCGCGATGACAAGCGTCTGGAATCCCTCGCCAGGCCAGTATCTGAAGCGCAGGGCCGCGATCACAGCACGCAATTCTGCGCGGTTGCTGGTCTGCGCTCCGTCGTCGCCAAACGGCCCCTTCGTTTCCAGCCGCCCAGACTCGATGCGCCTGCCCACTTCGGTCTCCCCGTGCCAGAATCCCCATCCGGCTCTTGGGTTTGCCCTGCCATTGTTGAGACATGCTCCATCAGTGTGGATGAGGCCTACGCCAGGGTCGTTTGGCAGAGTGAACCTAGTGGTTCATCGTATTAGCAGCAGCTCTAAGGTTGCCAACACGATACTCCTTGCCTTTTGATGCGTATGTGGCGCTTTCGGCCAGTGAAGACCTCCATAGGAGCTGCGTCGACGGATGGGGGAAGAAACTTGGTGGGAAACACCCGACCGGTACCCTTAAGCAGAGCATTAGGATCGAAAAGACCTGCTCCGGGCACCAGGGTTCCGTAGTGCTCAACCACTCCGTCGTCGCAAATCCATTGCTTGGTTATGGGTCCAGTTTGTTCCGCCATTCTCAAACTGCTTGGTGAGAAGCGCCTCAGAGAAGAAAGGGATGAGCGACGGGCAAGAAGAGTGTTGAAGAGAGTAATAACCATTTGCCCGCTTGGGGCGTCGTGATGGTGTGGTGATCCTGTTGTGTCGCCCTGCGTGGTTTCGAGATGCAGCGATCATCGGGATTTGACCCCCGCAATTTAGGTTGGGAGAAGCTTGGTGCCTGCCCTCAAAGAAGGGAAGTCGCGATGGTGGAGCAAGCGCATATGTGCCGAACGTGACTTTCTGTTCAGTCGGTGCTGAGGTTCGTATGGAAGTGACTACCGGCCAATACCAGGGCCTCACTCTGAAGTGATTCACAGCTCGACCTTTAGTCAGCACCGTCTCCATTTTCTGCTTGTCAATGCATGTGCATGTCTCAGGGCGCAAGAAGTCTGTGAGTCTGTACATTTAGTTGCTTGTCAACGCGGCCTCTACACGCCTAGCAATTAGCTAGCCAAGCAACCAAGGGGCAGTCTTTTGCCTAACCTCAATCCTTGACTGTCGGAGTTTCGGGGGAATTTGGTTGGCGTAAGCACTGCCTGCTCACAGGGCAAGAACACTGGGGCAAGAACGATGCCCACCGGCCGTTTCTCTTCACTGCGACAACTTCGGCTGCGGAACGGAGCAATGTCACCTCGACGTCACTTTCATCCCAACCATGCTTGGCAAACCATTCGCAGAACACCGGCGGCATGTCAAATACTGATTTGATATCACGGGCCGCTTCCGGGGCCACGGCCGCCGCCATCGATGCCGACAGCTCCGGCGTTTCCGGAAACCCGAAGGGCAATCTCGCAGTGACTCCGCGAGTCAAGCTAAACGCACCCGGAGTCCCCGGCGATGAAGACCACAGCGATGCCGCCGGCCGCGCGAGAACTCCTGATCCGACGGAGCCAGCGTCTGCCCAAAACAAGCGATCGGCGGCCGAGATCGCCCTGGTAATGGGCCCGCTTTGCCTGTCCAGCCTGCTATCGTCGCTGGACCTGACCATCGTGACGCCCGCCATCCCCTCCATCGTACACTCGCTACAGTCGGTAGCCCAGGGGGCCGACCACGCGAATACGGCTAGCGGCTATGTCTGGATTGGCGGCGCCTTCATCCTTGCCCACACGGCCACGACCCCGGTATGGGGCTCCGTTTCCGACATCTGGGGCCGCAAGCCCGTCATCCTCGCCGCGCTCGCCATATTCCTCGCGGGCAGCCTTCTCTGCGCCCTGGCGCCGCACATGGACGCCCTGATCGTCGGCCGGGCCGTCCAGGGCCTTGGCGCCTCGGGAATGGGCATCATGGTCAAGGTCATCATCTGCGACATGTTCTCGATGCGGGATCGTGCCCTGTATTTCGGCATCACGTCGTTCGTCTGGGCTATTGGCAACGCCATTGGGCCTGTACTGGGCGGTGTGTTTGCAGCCGGGGTCGGGTGGAGGTGGTGCTTTTGGATAAACTGTGGGTTTCTCCCAAAGCGTCGGCATCTCCTCTATGGCTCTTGGGTGCTTGCTAACCGGTGATCCCTACGCCTAGTGCCCATTGGTGCCGTCGTTTTCGCAACCTTGCTCCTTTTCCTCAAGGTCCCCAACCCCCGAACCCCTCTGTGGGCTGGCCTCAAGGTTATCGACTGGTCTGGGAGCCTTCTCATCATCGGAGGCGCGCTCATGATCCTGCTTGCCCTTCAGTTTGGCGATGTCATCCATCCATGGTCCTCTGCGACTGTCATATGCCTTGTCGTCTTTGGCTCGGCGGTAGTTGGCATCTTTTTTCTCAATGAGTGGAAGCTCGCAAAGAACCCAATCATCCCGTTGCGCCTCTTGTCCAACAAATCGGTCGTTGCGGCCATCGGGATCATGTCTTTCAACATGTTTGTCTTCATCGGGCTCGCCTATTACTTGCCACTCTACTCCCAATCTGTTCTGGGCGCCGACGCCCTAGCTTCGGGGCTACACCTCCTCCCACTCATCGTTTCGTGCTCTCTAGCGGCCACGTTTGCTGGTTGGCTAATCCAGAAAACCGGAAAGTATCTGCCAATCATGTTTGTGGCTCAGGTGATTTTCATCCTAGGCACCGGGCTTTTGTCCAACCTCGGGTTCGAGCAGGACCTGACGAGGCTCTTTTTGTACGAGATACTCATCGGAGTGGGCATCGGCATGAACCTTGAGGGCCCTCTCCTGGCTGCGCAGTCGACAGCTTCCGCGAGGGACACGGCAGCTATCATTACGACCATGGATTTCTCCCGCGCCCTTTTCACCGCGATATCCGTTGTCGTGGGCGGCGTCATCTTCCAGAACATGATGAACGCCGCCAACTCGACGCTGGTTCACACCCTCGGGCCCGAGGTGGCTGTTCGCTTCACAGGCCCGCAGGCGGCGGCCAGTATCGACTTTATACGCAGCTTGGCCAGAGATCAGCAGTCACTGGTACGCGAGCGATACTTTGACGCGTTCAAACCTGTGTGGATCCTGGTAAGTGCCCGCTGCCAGCCACGTAGTCTGAGAACCAAGCAAGCAGTTGACTAACATGCCTCACTTGTTTGAAGTATGTGGTATTCGCCGGAGCTGCTGGAGTTCTCCATCTTCTCGTCCGCGGGAACCACCTGAGCACCGAGAACAAGGGACCAGTCCTTGGCACCAATAGGACACAAGGGGCCTCTGACGAGCCGTCAACGCAAGTTCTTCGGGGTGCAGCGGATCGAATGTCACTGGAGCTCAGCAACATGAGGCACCGGCAGGCTCAGCGTCTTTAGTGCGGATCACGCAGGCCGATTGAGTAGAGAAGTCCTGTTACCCCTTGTATCTTGATCACGTAACGGCATGGCAATCTATATCGTGTCCCTTCAACTCTCGGAAGCTCGACGCCTGTGGGGAGCGAACAGTGCAGGCCAAACCTCAAATGGCCCAAGTGCATGCGATACGATGCAGCGTCGCCGCTCTTTGAAGAAAAGAAACCCCCTCTGAACAAGCCCGAGATGGGTGTCTGCCATATCATATCCGCACAACCTCGAAACCAGATACTGAAGGAAACCGACTCCGTCCGCTATGCTTACAAAAATGTGACTAATAGGGGATCTTTCGACAACAGCTCTTCAACCTTCTTCATGTTCTTCTTGGTCGCGGCAAAAGTCGCCCAATATCCATCGGATGATTTACACATGACCATGGAGACATCTGTATCGCGTACGCCGCGGCGTTGATGGTCAGTGAGGTGCCCTTGTGGAGACGGTGACCATTTCTTGCTGGATGTGCAAACTTACATCTCAATGGCGTGTCCCTGGTATGTGCCCTCCCCCAGGACCAGCAATCGCTTTGGCTGTTGCCCACCATCGCCCCCTCCTTCCTGCTGCTGCTGCTGCCGCCAGTGCTGTCGTTGTTGCGGTTGCCGTCGTGCATCTCGTACGCCGCCATGTGCTGGATGGTGATGACGGCGCCGTACAGGACGCAGATGACGGAGAAGATGCTGCTGAGGAAGTCGGACGACATTCCGCAGGGAGGGGAGGGGGGGAGAGAGGCGGGATGACAGCGACCGGGGGGCTGGATCCGGGAGGTCTTATGAGTCGCTGTGGCGATAGGCTGCGCGCTCGATCGCATGGGGCACCACCCTTTTTTGTTCCCTGCTGGCATCCAAGCGATTCCCCAAACGTACCTGTTAAGCCGCACAGACGCTCCCTTTATATGAACGGGGAGCGCGTCTGGCGCTCCAAGTGGACGGCCGTGGCTAGTTGGAGCTAGCGGCACACAAGCTTCACCTACGCTGTGTTTCACCGGCATCATCATGTCCGAGAGCCCACGCGCCCGACGTGGGCATCGATCGACAACAAGCACCCAGAGTGCCAGAGCTGCCTGCGCAAAATCCTCTGGCGGCGGCGGCCAGCAAAGCGCCCAGGCTGTGATCTGGCCCTGCATGGGCATGGACCTCATTGGCGAGTGGCTGGCATGTGCTCAGCTGCGAGGTCCAAGGAGGGGGAGAGAGTGCTGAACGTGCCCGGCTGTCCAGATTGTCTACTGGGCTGACATTATCAGATCGCCTGCCCTGCGACCTTTCGGGCACTGCCATCTTGTGTCATCCGAGAAGTGCGGTTCGATGCTGCGCCAGAGGATCAACCGCGGTTGACATCCGGCGTGACTCTCAGGGACCGTCGCATCTGCATTGGCCAAGCAAACGTCAACGTCCCTGGCCGAGACAGGCACAAAGATATATGCATGCGGTAAGACGTAATTCCTTTCCCTGCAGTTAGCTATGAGGACCCATATCTGCAATAATGGCGTGGCAATGGATCCTAGCCCCCGGTTTATAGGCAAAAGGGTCTGCAATGCAACACCATTTTTGAGACAAAGTTGTCCAAGTTGGGACTAGATACCGAGCATTGCAAGCTCGGATTTCTCTACCAAATGCGCAAATGGCGCCACATCGCCGACTGGTGAGTCCCGCAGGTCCATTATAAGCTTTGTTGGGCCCCGAATCCCCCCGACCAGACGCATTCTGATATGCCCGCGGCTTCGCATTGAGAACAACGACGGCCGGTTGCGAACCCAACCCGGCCTGTCGGCTACCTTGGCCCCCCCTCTCGTGCAGCATCCTCATGCAGCCGGTTGCACCGACTGAGGGTAGTAAAACAGCTCCTTGGGGTCGAACTTGGCCTTGACCTGCCTCAGCCTGGGCAGGTTCTGTCCGTAGTACAGCTCTTGCGCCGCGGTCCTGTTCAGGATGGTATCGGCATAGTTGATGTACATGCCCCAGTCGGGCCGGCTGATCGAGTCCGTGACGGAGCTGATCCAGCCGTCCAGGAACTTGTTGTAGGGGCCGCCGCTGCCCCCGGCGACCCGGTCCTGGAACTGCAATAGGAAAAGCTTGTCCCGGTGCGCGTAGGCGGTGGCGTTGGCGGCCACGCGGCTGACGGCCGAGGTGGCGCCGCCGTGGATGTCCAGCTGGAAGTACCAGCCGAACGCGGGCTGGTTGCGCGCCGTGTTCTGCCAGTAGCGCACAAAGTTCGCGAGCGGCTGGCCCGTCAGGTCCTTGAGCTCCAGGCTCTTGGCGTAGAAGCTGGCGTGCTAAAAAAAAAAGGCGTTAGTGCCGGGCGGCTATACCGAGTTTAACCGGCCTCGGGGGCGACTCACAACGTTGTATGGGATAGTCTGCTCCATCTGGTCTCCGTAGGTGTAAGCCTGCAGAGACGCCAGCCAGCCGTCCGTCTTTGACGTGAGCGTGCCGCCGGTGGCCGCCACAAGGGGGTCTATGACGGGTCTGAGCTCGGACAGGGTGCCGTAGAACGCGCCCTCCATGATGAAGTTGGTGGGCTGGCCGAACAGGCGCATGTTGAGGTTGTTGGGCGCCTTGTTGACAGCAAAGTCGCGCAGGGCCTGGATGCCGGCCAGCACCGTCTGCTCGGACCTCCAGTTCGGCAGCGCGATCTGGAACGTGGTCACAGTCGAGGGCGCCGGGAAGGTGTCGAACTCGAGGCTGGCCACGATTCCAAAGTTGGAGCCCGCGCCCCGGAGCGCCCAGAACAGGTCCGGGTTCTCCGTGGCCGAGGCGCGCACCACGGTGGAGTTTGCCAGCACGACCGTCGCCCCGACCAGCCAGTCCAGCGCCAGCCCCCTGGTGTGCGAAGAAAAGCCGAAGCCGCCGTGAAGAACGTGCCCAGAAACTCCCACTCTGGACGGATGCCGTTTCGTTTTGTCAGCCATGGCTACAAAACGAGCATGCCCGCGCGGGGGCTGTCTGGTTGGCTGGCTGCCTCTACTTTCCCCCCCACAACTACGGTTACACTCACCCGGGACATGTGCCGTGGCTGATGGCACGCGCCCCCAGCCTGAACAGCTCCGTGGCGACCTTGCCCAGCCTGGCGCCGGCCTGGACCGTGGCGACGTTGGACGTGGTGTTGAGCGAGACGCCGCTCATGCGGTCCAGCTGGACGACCAGGTGCCCGTCCTCGCCGCCGAGGCCGTGCGACGCGTACCCGTGGCCGCCGCCCTTGGGCGTCACCTTGAGCCCGAGGCGGGCGCCGCACGAGACGGCGGCCTGGATCTGCTGGACCGCGGTCGGGACGGCGATGGCGGCGGGCGTGACGGGCACGCGCAAGTTGTACGCCGCCGCGTCCACCCTCCAGACGCTCGACGACTTGGCCACTATGGGCACGCCCGCGCCCTGGAGACAGCTCTCGGCCTGCGACGCCTGCCGCGGCGCGTTGGCCGCCTGCGCAATCCCGAGGGCGGCGGCCAGGGACGCGAGCAGGGCGGCTGCGGGCGCCATCTTGTTCGTGGGCGGGCAGTAGGCTCTCTCGGAGTTGAAGGAAACAAGGGAGATGGGGAGGCGAGAGAGAGAGAGAGAGAGGAGGCGAGGAGTGACACGCTGGGCAAGGAGGGAGGCTGTGAGAGCGGGAGCCAGCAGCGGCAGCCGACAAGGGGGTTACTGTCGCCAACTAATACTTGTCATGACCGAGGCCGTCTGAATAGCCCTAGCCGCGGAAAAATTGCCCCGTTTGGTGTATGGACACGCGACCGAATCGAGGCGGTTGAGGCCCGACAAGGAACCCCCGGGGAAGAGAAAGCTCGACGGATGAGCCGATGGCCGCATCCCCACGCTCCTCGACCCCCTTGATTTCCCGCCAATCTGAAAAACGTGTCGAGCCAAGGAAACCAGTCCCTTGGTGCCTTGGGGTGTTTTCGCCCGGTCCAGACGGGCGAAGGGGCCGCCGCAGAGGGCGGGCCGGCAAAAGACAGGAACCTGGCAGGCTCCGAGGGCCCGATCGGGAAATAGGAAATAAAGGTCGGGAGCCTTGGCAGTCATTGGGGTGGTGGAGTCGACGTCAATATATCGCGGTGCGAGTCGCCGAGCCGCTTCCCCATGGGGCGCTGTGATATGGGACTGTCCGCAGTGTTCGGGCGGCCAGCGTTCCATTGAGGGAGATCCCGTTAGATTGATGCTCGACACAGCCATCATTTCCATTGGTCAGGTGGCCGTTGGGTGACGCCTCGTTTGAGAACTGGGCCGCTTTGTTTTTTTTCTGCATGCGCCTCTTAGTCTTGAGCTGACAGCGCGGCCGCACGGTGACGCCATGGCCGCAATCCTCCTCGCCATCCTCGACGACGCCATCGTGATATTTCCCTTCCGCTCGCCCGCCGCTCACGGAAAGAGGAGCGGCACATTCTGAGCGGGGATTCGGTATTCTGCATCGCAGAGAGTGACGGCTGTGAGAGCTTCATGTCTGTGTTGTCGCCGGGTAGTGGCTAATTAGCTGTGCCTTTCCAGCGCGGACTTTTCGAGAATCATACCAGACATGAGGTCATGTGATGATGCCATGCTGTGACAAGACTTGGATAAGATGCGGCCACGAGGCACACGGCCGAATTTGCGGCATTTTTATTGGCAAGCCTGACGGCAGGGTGGTATTGCCCGTATTCAGTGGCCGGATCGACTGGAATAATCTTGGCAAAGTTGACGCGTTAAAAGGCCTCAGGCACTGGGATGGCCAACTCAAGAGAGAGCTCCTATGATGCTTTATCAATAAGTCAGAGCCCATGATACCTTTTAGTCCGAGTTTAGTGTTCAAGGCTCACATATAATTATTGCCAGAGCCGTGCCCCCAACACATGCAGCGAAAAGATTCAAATTTCAGCCAACGCTTACCAGTAATCAATAGCTTGAACACTATCAGGGCATGGGACACACCTTCCGGGTCCCAGATCTGAGGCGTGCACGATAAAGACTTGTAGTCTGATGAATAGACAGAAAGATCCTTCGACACACGATATAAATGTTGGAACGGCCCTGAAGAGACACACTCGCACAAGGGAACCTCGTCTTGATAGTCACCAACAGTTTGACGGGGTACTTACTCCGTTCTTGTAGCTCAAGTTGAAATAAAGATTAGGACTAACAGGAAGTAACATTCCTTTTTCATATCGGCCCAGCACTTCTGCGGTTGAGCTCTTTGTGCATTGATATCTAGGATGTAAGTCGAATCAGATGAATGCTGAAAGACGAAACACAACGGGCAGCAAGAGCAAGGCATTGGGTAGGACGGGATTGTTGGGGAAAATTAGCGCTCAAACGGCAAGTAGCGAAATGCCAAGATGAGTTCGTATTCTCCTCTCGTATTCCGCGCCGCCGCTGGGCAACGGAGAGACACGAAACGGGCGGTGGCGCCCTCGACTTTGCCCACGGCCGAGACAGACAAGAGCCTGACGAGAACTACAACGTTACGCCTGGGGGAGTGAGAGGTCCCCAGAGGGGAGCAGCACTTGACAGTGACGGGTAGAGAATAGCAACCAGTGCGGTCATTGTAATGCGGTCAAGAAAGAGCGAGTAAATCAAATAGAAGAAAAAAAAACCCACCAGAACAAACACTCGGAAGGGCCACGTCTCGCGCAAACCCGAAGGTGGGTAGGATAGGGTGTGCGTATGTGTGTGTGTGTGTGTGTGTGTGGTGGTGGCGGCAATCCGGTGACTGGCCTTGTGACCTCGGGGTGCCCTTGGGCGAGCGCACGGGGAGCTGTTGCGAGGGGACCATCATTACGTGAGTCACCAAATTCTCACGAGGAGGGTGTCCGCAGCGAGCACGTTCCGACGGCGGGGGGTAGGGCTATCGGGGGGAAGGCGAGGTACGGTGGGCGCGATGGCAAGACGTCGACGGCGAAGGGGGGATGGGACGGGACGGTTGCGTCGGCGAGGGTCAAAGTCGGGTGCCCTGGCCAGTAATTCTGGCCAGGGCATCATCTCCTAGCTCCAAGGCACGAACCACGCAATCGTAGAGATGGGCTTAGGGGTTTTTTTTTTTTGGTTCTCACCTTGGCTGTAACTTTTGACCACTCACCGTTCCGTTTTACTGCTGCTGAGCTGTGACCGTCAGGGGCCTGAAGCACACTCAACCCATCCCGGGCAAGAACCGGTCACGCCATCGTATCACATGCTGAATGCAGAAGGGGCGGCGGCGAGCAGAGCAAAGAAAACGATACCTGTGTGTAGGCCCCCGGGGCGCTTGGAGCTTTCGACGAGGACCAATCATGGGCTCTTTGCAAAGGCCGTGGCGGACCGTACGCTCCTATCTGTCCCCTCGGCGCCCCTCTCGGTTCTCCTCGCCTAGGTCATCAACTGGTGGAAGCGCCAAGTCGTGTGGGTCCCCCTCCCCGGACGTGCGTGCGAAGCAAGAACGCCACGGCCGTCTTCTCTTTTTATCACCTACAAACAGTTTCTCTCGGGCATATTCTGCAAGTCTTTACTCCGAAGGTCGGTGGGTTCCTACTGTAGGTAGGGGTTGCCTGCTCCAGAGCATGCGGTTGCATCCGGTGGGGTCGTGGCCGAACGGCGGGCAGAGTCGCACTCGTCTGGGTCCATGATCAACAAGCCGGAGGGTGGCCTGTGGCGTCTGGGGGTTGGATGGCGAGTGAGCCCTGGCTGAGCGTTCGGGCTCGCCAAGCCCGGAAACTGTGGAGGGCGTCGGGGAGGCAGACGCGCGGGGCAGGTATGGACGCATGTAGGATGCGAGACCGGTGTGTTTTTGGGCCCACAGACAGGAAAAAGCCCTGCTCGAGGACTAAATGGAACACGGTTGGGGGGGTACCTCGCCGCGTAACCACCCTGGGGTTTTGCGTAAGATGAAGAACAGGAAATAGTCGAGAAGTGGAGGGCTTGGTGTTTTTGCCTCCGGCTACCACCCCTGAAGTCATTCCCAGGCAGCTTTCGTCTTGTGGCTGTGTAGGGCACTTGGCGGGTGAAGGAGGGCACACCAGTCGTCATCACAGAGCACATCCGCCCCGGCTCGAGAGGAGCGAGTTACGGAAGGACCTGTTTTCACTAGTGCCTGCCCCCTCGGCGGTCCTTCCCGCCCCGTCGCCTCTTGATACGGTTGTTCGAATCAGAGAGCCTGGCCGTACCCGGCCGGGGCAGCGCCTCTATGTCAAAGCGCCCAGTGCAGTGCCACCTTCGCAGGGCATTCTCCCGACTGGACAGATACCCCGCGAGCCCCCTTGTAGGAGCGCACCAATGGCGACAGAGGCAGATATCGGGCCCGAAGGGCTCCAGATCGCCACCCTCGCGATTCTGCAGCGTGACGAGCGAGAGCAAATTCTCTGCCGATCCCTCACTGCGCGGACCGCTGTTGCTCTGTTCTGGAGCCAGGCGGGGTGTTGGAAGGGGGGTTACACTCAGCGCTCCAGCCAGTCAAAAGCCCAGGTCCTGGCTTTGGGCTTTTTTTTATCACGGCCGACCAGCGAACTGAGGGGCGAGGAGGGGCTCAGGGAGTGGGAGGTGGACCGACGGGAGAAGAGAAATAAGTGGGTCGGAAAAAAAAAGACACAAGTAAACAGAGAGCAGCGTGGGAGGAAAAGAGACTGACAGAGAGGCTGACGCAGATGACATGCGTACTAGGTGCAGCTGGGCACGTCCCGTGTGCATCGTTCATGCAGTAGCGTGCACACTAGCTCGGCGACCGATGGATGCCCTTCTCCCTCGCCCCTCTGCCGCTCAGTCTCGGTTTGGGCCTGTTGCAGTCGCCTCAACACCCCCAACCCACGAGTTGCATATTCTCGTGCCCGGGTATGTATGGGGGGGTGACTAGCAGACCCCTTGGGAGGGAGTGGAGGGGGAGGGGCAATCTGCAGGTGGCTGGACGGGGGGGAGGATGTGCAAGCCAGGGAGTGGTGGTGGGAAAGGCAATAATGAGACAGATATGCACGATTTGGACCCGCGCAGGAGCGCGGGAAACGCCCCCCAGAAAACAGAAAACAAAAAATAAACAAGAAACCACCAGACAGGCACCCACCACTGCTAGAGCCAATGACGCGGGCGAGATCGCCGCGGGGATGGTGTCAAGTGCCGAAAAGCGCTAGACATGGTAAAACAAAAAGAAAGGATGAAAGCCAGGAGAGAGCTGGGTATCTACCAGCCCTGGACTCTGTCATACAAGACCATGTCATGGCATGATGGCTGAGTTAGGGCCAGCGTGGGCATGCAGACACATTTGCGGTGAAAGGACAAAGTGGCCCCTGCCGGCAGTTTCTGCCTGGCAAGGGGAGGAGGAGGGGACGACGAAGTGGTGTGCGTCTTCCATGGGCTCACGCTCAAAGGTGACGACCCTCGTTGCGACGTTGGGTCATGTTTGTTTTTCTGTCCTCGTCGAAAGGGCATGCAAATCGCCCCGATACTGCTAGCCTGCTGCCATGATCGGAGACCCTAAAGGACGACGCCGCGACTGCCTGGCGTTTGTGTGGTGTGTGGGTGTATGTGGTGTTGTGGTGGGCGTGCGGTGGTGGTAGTGGTGGTGGTGGCCTTTTGCTTAGTGCCCGAGGAGGGGTGCAGTGCATCCCGTGGGGGGCGCCGGCATGCGCGTCTGATTGGCCTGCGCCACAGCAGCTGACCACGGCCGGGCAGGGGTGGGAGGAGGGGGGGAGGCCTGCAGCCATCTGGATGTTACCCATGTCACCCCCACCAACGGGCTGCCATCCGGTGCAGCTGATAGACCTGCTTCGTGATGCTCCAGTGGCTCCCTTATCGATCTACCCATGGGGCCCCTGTTGCTTCTCGTGTTCCCCGTCATATCGGACTGGACGCTGCGGGCTCCGCTTAGTTTAGCCGTGCCCTCCTCAGCCGTTTGCGCGGACCAGAAAAGGTGAGATGTGGAATATGATATGATGTTACAACTATTTCGAGTGGCAAGTGTGCGCGCGTGCGTGTGGATACCAATCGCCTTTCGTCTCTTCCCCTTTCCTTCCACTACCTGCCCAACTCCTAGCATTATGGCAACCAAAGGGCGGGGTTCGGGCTGGTAAAAATGATGAGCTGATGACGATTATGACTATGGAGAGCAAAACCAACCCAGACCGTCTATGTGCATGCTATGGCGGCCGCGACTTCGCTCCAGTGGTATCCTTAACCGGATATGCCGGTGATAAGCAGTGCGACCAGGGACACAAGGAGAGGAGGAGAGGAGGGGAAAAGCGGACGTGGAAAGGGGAAAAAGGCAAAGGGAGAGAGAGAAAAAAAAACAGGAGAAAAAGTAATGGAAACTGCCTAACGCCATGTGCACCGCCCGTCAACCCCTCCAAGAAGACAACCCACCCAGGTCCCTCGTGAGTCGAGGCCCACTCAAATGACAGGCTCACGGGAGCTCGAAGCCCTGGTTCGAAACACCCCCCCCCATTCCCGCCAAAAACAACAGAATTCCTCCCTTCCATACCCTCCCACATTTCCCATGCGTCCGTCCGTCTATGATTTGCCATTTCTTCCATGCTGCTTGCCCACAGTGACGTCCCCACCCATCCTGCCATCCCTCAAGCCCTCGCCAACGGAGGATTAGCCGCCATCCGGTGTGGGAAGGGTTGGCGCAGATGCGCGGGAAGAGGAAACAGGGAAAAGGAAGGAGGAACGAAAATAGAAAAAGGAAAATGATGAGAAAATGCAAAGAAAATAAATGGAAGCAGAGAAAAGTACAAAAAGAGAAAGGAAATGATATCTGGCGTCAAATGGCCAAACAGGGTATCTTCCATCGGCACAAACATCCTTGCCCAAAGTTTACCGGCGCGCGCTTGCTAGCGACCAGCCCAAAAGTCCATATCCCTAGAAGTGAATGAAAACGAGCAAAAGGGAGAGGAGCGGTTTCAACCCCTGTGAGTGGTGTCACCACCATAGCCACCGTGGGTACCATACACAGAGGGGCCATGATGACCACCCGCATGTGTACCGTACGGGTCTGTGTGGCTGGTGCTGGCGTAGCTTGGGATTGACACATCATAGGGGTCGTAGCGGCCAGTACCCACGGCGCCACCGTGACTCATGTGGTGGTGAGGGCTTGCGTGTAGGCCGTAGGCGCCACCAGCGCTGCGGGCCGAATGGCTAGGCGATCGTGTGTCGTAGATGGTCGACGAGAGAGTCGAGATACGGAGACCCGAGCCTGGAGGAGAGGGAGGTTTGCCGAGCCCGGGTGAGATTGTACGTGTGCTGCTCGTCGGATACGACGTGGCCCAGGACGAGGTTGGAGGCAGGGAGCGTGGGCTTGGCAGGCCGTGGTCCATATGGGTGTGGTGTCCGTGTGCGGTGGCCATGCTGACGTAGCCTGCGGCCATGGAGGGATCTGTGGCAGTTGTCGCTGAGACTGGCGTTGGTGGGAGACCGGGGTATGTGACGGCCGGCAAAGCAGGCAGGCTGACCGGGGTGACGAGGTGGTGGGTCGGGGCTGGGGCTAGGTGGTGGGCAGAGGGGACCGACGGAGGACTGTAGCTGTATTTGGACACGATCTTCCGCAGGGCCGTCTCCAATACCTTCCATGAGAATACCTTGATGTCCTTCTCGATGTTGCGCGGCTTGGGGTTGCCAAAGCCCATAATGACCTTGAAGAAATCCTCCGTGTCGCGGCGGTTCTTGCTGACCGTGATGGGCTTGTTCCCTTCCAGGTTGCGACGGATCCGGTTCTTCTCCTCAACGTCAAACTTGTTGTTCCTGGGCGGCACGATCAGTCGCTCGAGCAGGTAGATGGCATCCACCGACGTGACAAAGCAGTCCTTCCTCTCGGCCCACCAGATGCAGCTGATGCAGATGGCGTTGGGCGGCCGGTCACCCACAGGCACTGGCTTGCAGTACGCTGCGAGCTGGGAGCCGGTTTGCTTCTTGGTGAACATGACTATGCGCCGCTTGTTGGCCCACTCCTCCTGAGTCCAGCTGTTGATGTCGGCCATGCTGTTGAGCTCGTCGGGCCTCATGACGAGCTCCGCCTTGCGCGGGGGCGGCGTCGCGCCCGCCCAGCCCGTCGAGTAGATACCACTGCCATAGCTGTGGCTTTGTGTCGAAGCGGCAAGGATGCTAGTGCGCATCAAGTTGGATGAGCTCGCGTCGGCGTGGTGCGACGCCCTCGGCGACACCGTGATGTTTTGCCTCATCATGCTACCCTGCGAGTGCGCGAGCGCCGCCTCGCGGACGATGTCGTATCTCTCGGATGCATCCTGGGAACCGTAGGTCGGCCAGGCGCCCGAACTCTGGCGCAGGCTCGGCGGGCGGTAGTGGTCTCCAAAGGATACCCGGCTCCTGTAGGAGCCAAGCATATCTGTGCTTGCTTGGTTGTATGCAGTAGCGGCGGCGTTGCTGGCGTCGTCGTCGGTCTGCATGTGCGGTGCGTCTGTTGGGATCTGTGTCTCGGCGACGGGGACCCCAGAGACAGGAGTGTAGGGGTAGGTATTTGTAGTCGCGTCCGACGAGATGCCGTGGGTATGCAGCTGATCTTCTTGATGCTGCTGGTGTTGGTCATGGTGCTGGTGCTGGTGCTGGTGCTGGTGCTGGTGCTGTCCCGGGCTGGCGATGTCTGATGTGCGGACAGTCAAGTGCGGCGGGTGCGGGTGCTGGTGCGGGTGCGGGTGGTTTTGTTGCTGCTGGTGATCCTGGTGCTGCTGGTCTTGGTGCATCTGTTGAGGCTGGGGCTGGGCAGTAGGTGTTGCCGGAGTGCTGTGGGCGTCCACGTGGGCGTTCGGCCCGGTCTTGTGCCTGGCGTCCTCATGCTGCTGACCCAAGTCACCGGTTGCACCGACACTACTGGATAGCGGGCCGCCATGCGCATGCGCGTCATCTAGGTGATAAGTAAACGTGCCGCCGCTCACCACGCGCGCCATGCCGTCGCTGCCGTCGTCCACATAGAGCGTCAGCGGAACGCTCGCGGGCGACGCGCAGTTGGTGAGCATGAACTGTGGCGCCACCGTCGTGATGCCGAACACCCAGGCGCTACCGTCCTCGCACGACATGCCCGTCTTGCGCACGTCAACCTCGCACTTTTGCGATCCGAATGCCGCGTACATGTAGTCGGAGCATGCCGTCAGATCCAGCTGGCTCGATACCTTGAACATGACCCTTGTGCCTGCCGGCCCGCCCATGGGATGTCCGGAGAGGACGGCGAGAACCGAGCCGCCGGCAGAAGAGTCTTCCGCGGGCGAGCTCGCCTCATATTGCGCAGGTGCTGTCGCATTGTTGGCCGAGAATGCGATGCTGTTGATCTGCTGGGGCGTGGCGTGGTCCGTCGGATGGCTGGAGAAGGATTGTGGCGAAAACTGGGAGTATGGAGATTCGACAAACCCTGCAGTTCGATGTTGAAAAAAGCACCACAGTCAGCCTGGTCCTCCGACCAACACGGAAATGCCGCGATGCCATTCGTCGCCCAATTTTTATGCCCCTGTCAGTGGCTACCGACACCGCGTTGCATCCCGCCTTGCATGGCATTTGCCAGCGATGACTGGATGCAGGCAGGGGTGTCGGGTTGTTGGTCCACGGACTCGCAGATCTGACAATTTGACCGAGCCGCAGGACCGCTGACAGCGAATCACATCGCATCTCGTCGCCGCGCTGCCTGCAGAGGCCAACAAAAAGGCTGCCACTCGCGCACTCCAGGCCACAACGCGGACAAAAAAGAGGGCCCTGCTTTTGAGACGACTCACCATGAACCTGGGGCGGCTGAGGCTTGTATGCCGACATGGACATCGAGAGCCCTGCTCCGTTGGCTCCCGAAGCCGCCTCCTCCTCGTATGCCAAAGTCACCGTGTCTGGCGACTCAAGCTCCTCGTCCACGATTATGGGCCTCTGTGAGTGGAAACCAGGCTGCGGATTTACCAGCAAAAGTCAGCAATCTGATCATTGGGGCGAATGCTAGGCTGGCTTTTCAGCCCTAGAACCCTGGCCTCGGCCACGGCCCTCATCCCCGCAACGCTGCCTGGACCTGTTTTCAGGCCCGGCTATCTCGAAAGTGTCCAAAGCATAGCCATGGCTCAGATCTTCAGAGCAGGGGCTATGCCCAAGTTCGTTGGATTTGAGTCCATGCACGGCAACGGGGGCTGTGTTGCTGCTGCCTTGGGTCGAGTTGCTTACATGCCAACATTTTGGACAGAGGGAAAGGGCTGCGGAAATGTCTTGACTCACATCGAAGAGCTTGTAAGAAAACTGCTCGAACTTTGCTGCAGACATTCAAGCGAGTGCCCCGAGGGTTCGCGTGGATGAGTGTGTGTTAGGACGGTATTGGGGGTCGGCCGGGACGAGAAATCAACTCGTGCTGCCGACACAGGTACTGGACGGCAAGAGTAATGTTTCGTTGTCTAGGGGCGACGAATTTGATGTTCTGAAAGCTCGTGGGAAGTCGTCAGTCCTCTGGGTGATATGTCTTTGAATCTTCTGCCCCGGCCACGGTGATTGAGATACAGGTCTCACGCTAGAGATCATGGAGGAATGGTGCGGTCTGCAGTGTTTATAAACAATGTAAGCCCGTCAGGGCATGGGCGAGGATAGAATTCCAGTCGCTAAAGTGTGGTGAGGAAGGATTGGACTCGAGGCAGGCCTATTGGGCTTTCCAGGTGAGACTGATCTCGGACGCCCAAGGCCAAAAGGGGCCGGGGACCGCGGATTTCTTTCCTTTTTCGCAGCGGAAAATGAAAAGTAAGAACGTACATTACTAGGTTCGCTCCGCTCTGTCCACTTAATTATGCGATTCTTTCCACGCAGGTAGTAGTCGGACGGGAGAAGCTCGTTCGTGGTGTCGCCGTCGTCTGCGAAGAAAGCGCGGTTGTACTATAAGACCAGGAATGTGGGATCCCTGCTCGGCTGCTGCTCTCCAACGTTATTGGGTTTCTGCAAAAAGCAAGTGAAAAAACTCCTTGTCAGTCCATGAGAATCCTGTGGGTGCTCCACTGGTATGAGGAAACACGGTCGATGGCACGGCGAGGATTCGTACAAAGTGCAGGACGGCGTGCCCCAAGCTAGGCCGTTCGCGTTGATGGGATATGCTGTGGGCAATGACGGGACGCGATGGGGGCACGGTGGCCACACACATATGGGTTGTGGGTGGGGGAGCCACGGAGAAACAGGAACCGGGCGCTAGCAGCTAGCGGAAGGAGATGGTGGCCTGAGGCGGGCAGGCAGAAAGGACTGGCAGAGGTGTCGGAGGAAAGAATGATGTGGTGAAGAATAGAAAAGAATTGGTACACATGCAAGTGATCAGCGAGACAGGCAGGTGAAGTATGAGGCTGGCTGACAGCAGAGCTCGAGAGAGGAGACAGGGGGTTAAGATCAGGGAGGAGGGAGCAAGGGGAAATCGACAAGAGCAAGCACATATCTCGGTGGGCAAAAAAAGATAGAACATGTCCAAGCCGTGATGGCATGACTAGAGCAGGAATCGCGTTCGGTGCTTTTCACCCCTGCGGCGGCCGTACTGTCTCTCTCGCCTCTCCCTTGGGTTGCGTGGGGTGGGGACGCGCGGAATGTGTGTCTTGCTGTTGCTACTGCTGCTGCCGCTGCCGCTGCCGCTGGTGGTGGCTGCTGCTGCCCTGATGCTGGGGGACGCTCGTCCGCCGCCTCTCCACATCTTGAGGGTGACGTTAAGATGCCAGAAGGCAAAAACAAGAGACGGGCTCGGCCAAGACAGGCGTGGAGGATGTACTCCCTGGCTGGCACTCCCGCGTGTGCAAAGCCCTAGCCCAGACAGGGACCAGCGATGCGCATCATACGGGGTGGGAATGAGGAGGGTCTGTTCGGGAGGGAGGCCGGGGTGGAGGGGTGGGGGGTCACTCGTCGCAGCGGCCAGGGAGTCATGGGGCTGGGTGGGAGGCTTGTGCCCCCTGCGCTGGCTTGGGGGGAGGAGGAGTGGGTAGGCAGAACAGAGGTGCAGGGAGGCGCGCGTGGCATCGTGTCTGGCGCGAAGGTGGAAATTGTCTTCTGCTTGGTGCAAAAAAAAAACCAAGCCGAAATAGAACGAAGCGTGCCAGATTCCAGTGCATGACGGACTGCCAGTCAACAAAAGTGGTAGTAAAACTGGACCCGGTCCACCACCGGTAGTGCCCAACAGCGGGTGCCGGGGGGCCCCGGCCGAAAGCCCGAGCCAGGGCAGGGTGGAGGAGAAAACTGGCAGTCATCCGCGTCTTTTGTTTGCAACCTCGATGGGGGCAGTGGTGGGGTTATTGATGTCGGCGAGGGATGCTCCTGAGCTTCTGAGGGCACCTAGACCCAATGGTCATAACGACGAGGCCAAGGGAGGGGAGGGGACAGCTGATTGGGGCATCGTGGGATGGAGAGCGAGGCCAGGGCAGTTAGGAAGAAAAGGGCGAGGACAGAAAAAATGGGTACATGCATCGCGGTGGGACTTACTTGCTGCCTCCACCTAGGCGGCTCGGTATTTGGAGGCCACCTAGGCAAATCGAGTTATGGATACTGGCAAAGAGCCTAGTTTGGTGCTTCGTGCCTTCCCGTTGCCTGGCCTGGTGGTGTTAGTCGACACACGGAAAGGGTGTGGGCTCAACGTCTGCCGTCGACGCCCTGGGGTGTGGGTATCAGCCTGTGGACACGAGCGGGCCCACTCGAGCCAAGCAGCGAGTCCGTTTGCGCACGTCCAGTTGGGCAGTTGGAAACGGGGACGGCACTGCACTGACAGGGGGTCGCGGATTGCGCTCGGTGGGGCAGATCAGTCTGGGTCTCCTGCACCTCGAAATAGCGCAATAAGTCGCAAGTCCTTGGACGCTATCGCACCCGCACGTCCTTCAATATTCCGTCGAATATGGATGGCGCAAGCCCTCCCACCAACAAGGCGCGCTGGAATCGTGTTTTAGAATATGCGGGCTGCCCTTGGAAACGCGCCTGCAGTCTGTCTGTCGTTTGTTTGTTGCGAGGCGGACGGGGCACCACGCCCGATAGGCTCCCTGTCGTTCTCGTGGAGGAGGGAGAGAGAGAGCGTTGCGCATAGGGATTTCCGTCAGGGGTTGGGTTGGGTTGCCGTGCTTGCGGGGAACGACTGAGGGGATCGAGAAATCGACGTCGATGCTGTCGGGCCTTGAACCTTACCGACCAGCTCCGGGCCAGTTGCTTGTGGGCTGCCAGGTCAGGCGGCGGTAGACGGTGTCGGTCCTCTCCACGCCGTGGTCGGGGTGGTGCGGGCGCCGCTAGTCAGGCCTCTGCTTGGCGCGAAATCCTGCGATACTCGGCGGCTCTTCTTTCTGCTTCTGTCAAGCCGGCGTCGATCCGCACACGGAGAAAAAAAAACCCCACGATCCGGGCTTGATAGGGCCGAAAATGGTCCGAACAATGCGTTTCGACTGTTATCGCGTAATATTCCCTGGTCAGCTTGTAGTTCCGGCAGCGCCAACGACCGCTACCGGCTGTAGGGGGTGAGGCAAGGGGAGCTAGGCCCAAACCCGGCGCGCTAGCCTCCCCGTTCTTGTCCCTGATTCCCTTCGTGGTGGCTTCCTCTCGGTGGAAGGGTCAGTGCAGCCGCAAGACTATTGCTGGTGCTAGCTGATCCCGTATGCTCCCTTTTGGGATGCGTTTGACCAGGACGCAGCAGCGAGCAGCCCGTAGGGGCAGCACCGTGCGTGCTCCCTCGGAGAGCCGCCCAGCTCGGCAGGGACCGGTCACCTCCCTTGACGGGCAGTCATTCGTCCAGCCCACCGGCGACAAAGGGAAAAGATATGGAGATTGGCGTAAAGCTGACCGAGAGGATGGACTTTTTTTTTGGGATCTTGCGGTTCCCTCGCAACAGGACGCCGATATCACTCGCAGCCTCTAAGCTGATGCGCGTCGGTCTGCCGACAAAGCTATTTGTTATCTCTCGGGCGCATGATCTGCACGCGATATTGACATATTAGAGTACGGTATTCGAGGTTGGCTTTGCGAGAGGAGGAGTGGTCGGTCTTGTGTCCACGCACACGCGAAAGGCTGTCGTGACGGCGATAGCGTTGGATGTTCCACAATAGAGCGTAGCTGTTGGAGAGTGAATAAAGATTACCGTAGAGACATTAAGGACGAGATCGAAGAGAGACTGGCTCCGGCAGGGCGAAGGCATCCGGATTATAGATGCCTCGAAGCTGCATCAGCCATCATCAGAGCGACCCCTGTCGAAGCGTTCGCCTCGCTGTTATAGCACTCTCAGCAAATAGCAAGTCTGTACAACCATTACTGCTTCCATAACTGACACGCCCATCTTTGCTGCTGTCATGGCTAGTGTCGGCCCCCATCCTAGTCGGTTAGTAGGAGCACGACGAGGACGCTCGCAAGACGGGCTAGGTACCGCAGGTTTAGAGCATGGCCCGGGGCGCCGCCGGCGGGATCATGAGGTGTGGATGAGGTCCACGGCATGTACACTGTGAGTACCTTGGTTTGCAGAAGAGCGGATTTATGTGCGAGCATCCGACTGGGATGATACATGTTGCTTGAACTGAGAGGCCTTTTGGAAAGATGCGCATCAGAGCCTTGGGGCCACCCCCTACCTAGGTTGCCTCTTTTGCTCGGGGTGCGGATAGCACCCTTTGGTGATACAGCGTGTCGACAGGGAACAGCGTACTGATGGATATTGGTGTGGTTTGACAAAGACGGATAAGGTAGGTTCTTTTTTTTTCTGTTGACTTTTTTTCTAATTCTGTTCCTCTGCTTTGGCTTCTTTGCCCGGAACGCCCGCTATTCTGTGGTGGCACTTGGCGATTGCGCCTCTGGCTGTCCATGGGTGGGGTGCCTCGGGTGTATTTCTCGGGCCGGCTTTGGCTGCTTGGGGACCTACTTGGCCTCGTTTCCGACTGCTACGCCCGTATCTATTTCGGCCTGAAAGCCGCCATCCGCGTGGTGATGAATGGCTGCTGGGGTACCTGCGGTCGGGAGGTGTCCCGGATGGCAGATTAGAAATTTGGGGGATAACACGGGGCGCCCCCGGTGGCCGGTGCCAGATGTCACTCGTGCTTGGGGCCATACGTTTTGACGGTGCGTACAGGGAGCTGTGACGGAGATGACTGCTGTTGCCTGCGGTTATGGAAACTCCAAGGTGAAAACTCCAAGGTTGGAATGCAACAGGAAAGAGCCATCCGTGGATGTCACCCATGCCCACAGATTTTGCACTTGCACCTGCCCAGTGCACAGTGCCTGACACAGTGCACATGCCCAACACGACTCATCGCCCCCATCCCGTCCGTTTCCGCGGGACAGGAGCGACCCGGCGGGAAGATGTCAGAGCCATAGAAGTCGGCCCCTCCACTCGTCGATCTGCTGCGACGCCTCACTGTTGCGCCCCGTCATTTTCCTCTCTGCTCGTCTTCGTCTTTTGTTTTCCTCCTCCTTTGCTGGTATCCAACTCTATCCCACAAGCTAACCTTCTTTTGGGGACAAGACCAATCCGAGTCGTGACGGACGCCCGCGGCAGACACGCCGTTTGCCACCCGCTGACCCCGCGTCGAACGCATCTTCCCGCCCCGACTGGAGTCTCTCGCACCCTCCCACCCCATGTTCCTCCGCTGGTGGCTCTTACTACGGAGGCGTCAGGCGAGCGGCATGGTGTGGGCAGGTCAAGGTGAGCGCTCCTCTGCACATGGAGGGTCGCACCACTGTATACCCTCTGCGGCAGCTCGGTACGACCAAAACACTAGGCGGCTTGCACTACCGGCCGCACCGCGCTTGCCATCGCGCTCTTGGTGTTACACAGCCTTTTCGTGCCCAGGGGCTTGCCTCAAGGAGAAGGGGCCGAACGGCAACGCTGCCAGGCAACGAGACTCCCCTCATCCTCCGGCTTTGGCCCCACAGACGTTAGCCGTTTGCATTGCCGTTTGAATCCATGACCCGAGCATCCCCGCGCCTTCCGACCCTGGCCATCATCTATCAAGCTGGCCACTGGTCATCTGATGGGGTCTTGTGGGCGCCTCGCCTGGGCGCTTAACTTGGAGCGCGCCGTCGCCTGATGCACTGGCCGGCCAAGGTGGTCGGCTGGCGCAATCAACGTTGAAAAGGCCCACCAGAGTGAGTGATAGCTCGCGGCGGGGGATGGCCCCAGCGGCCGCAAAAATAGGCCAGGACGAGGGACCTGGTCCAGGTGGAGTTGGCGGGACTGTCCGCACCCCAGACTGGACGGACTGGACTGGCACACAGGTGGTTGACAGTCAGGCAATTCCATGACGAGATGGCCAGCCAAACGCTCCGGGCGATGTAGTCACCCACCTGCTCCTCCGCTCCTCCGCTCCTCCACTCTTCCGCCCTTGCTCTGTGTGTTCCGGTCCTGTAATTGTCCGTCGATATTGCCAAGGGGGCCACTGGAGCCTCTGGGATGCTGGAGGTGCCACCCTCATACCGCCGACGAACTGCCGCGCTCCGTCCAGGGTGGCTCACGATTGTGCTCTGCTCATTGGACCGCGCTCAGGTTGGTATATGCCGCACCGGCCTGCCGTGGATGCGCTCTCTCACCTCAGGCCACTCTTCGCCATGCGCTCAACCGCTGGCTATGTTTCTGGCCGACACCTCCGCCCCCGTGGGCCGGGTCGGCCGTGGCGGGCCATCCGTTTCGTTTTTCGTCTTGGTTGAAGTTGGACTTGGCGATCGCTCTGCGCAAGTCTCAAGGCGCGG